TTAGAAAACAAATGCAATATCCTTGTGTCTACCAAAATTCCTGTCTTTCAGCTATGGTTGTTCGTAGAAACATTTTCCAGCATTGCTGTTTAAATTTTTAAAAAAAACTGTCGCTAAAGTTTACTACCTATAACTTTTTTGACTACTCCTTATTAAAGGGTGTTGTTCACATACAGCAAATTAGAATTTTGTTTTATGCAGAAATTTTTATCTGTTATATACCCGTAGTAATTACTCCAATAAGCTTCCAGAAACCATGAGCAATACCGGTAATAATACTTCGCCCATCAACACTTTTTGGAGACTTCCGAAAACTACAGAGCAATTGATTATCCCTTCCTCATTTTAATTAAACAAGCACCAAATTGGTTAGCAATTTTAATATATTTTCTAGATGCTTTTACAATTTCAAGGTCACCGTTCAATCAATCCTACAGATGCTCTCGTTGTTTAACCTTCCAAGTAAAAATACCTAATTTCTCTCCGTCAACTTTCTGTTTGGAGCTCAAGAGTAAAGGACCGCTGACGACTAAAAAGCCGTTCAGAAGTTACTTTGTAAGCGTTTGAGTACAGTACTTATTATTCACTAAGTACTGCAACTAATCATTAAATAACTTTACACATTCTCCTTTAAATCTTGATATTTAACTGAATTCTTGAAAAGATCATGTGGAATTGTGATATAACCAACATTCTTTATCAGTTACTGATGAACTGTCTGAGGTATTAATCAGTCCAGTTACTTATGAGAAGATGCACTGTGTGGGAAGTTGGTTCTATGAAATGATTAATATTTGCAGCTAATATATATATATTTGTTGGTATACAAAATGACTCGTCGTCGGTACCTTTTTTAACTAGTCCATATTTACGATAGTATTTGGGGCTAGTCTGATCTCTATCAATTTCAGCAGAGCGAGGGTTAATCCGATCTCCACTCAGTCGCGCATGTTAGTTCATGGGACAAAGTTCCACAATCGCTGGAGCATCTCGAGAAGATGTGAGTCTGACTTCATGCCCGTGGTAACGTACTTTTTAAAGTCAATTGATCAGTGAATATATTATAACATTTCAACTAAATTATAAGATATCTGTTTTGCATAGGTCCCTTTGAGATTTAAACAGCTTAACATTAATATTATTGGCTATATCATTGTGTTAAAATATCTTCAGTTTCTTCAAAATGGATAAGTACACTTTACTGATAAATCTCAATAAACATGTAGTGTCTGCATGTTTCCTCCTTGTTTGTAGACTTTAAATATTTAGAGAATTATATGGGAGTGACCTTACAAGGTGAATGGGAATGTACTATTATTATTATTAGTATTCTTAAATTGTAACATATTTAAATTAAGAAAAATTTTTTATTGTTGATTCATGTTAACAATAAATTTAAGCGAATTCATCATTTTTTTTTCTTCTGTTTAATTGATTTGGGAACAGTTGTTGTTTTGTTTATTCATCTACTATTGATTTTTTTTTGTCTGTTGGTGTATTTTTCAAAATTTAATTAAAAAAATATTCCTCCAATGGTTCTTATTTTATGGTTAGTTACCATTTCTAATGTTTTCTAATAGGAAAGATTGAAGTAATGATGTCGTGTCATTAGATTTATGATGTATTAAGATTTTTTGTTTTTTGATAGAAAATAGTAAGAGTTCATTACTTATAAAATTTGTATGCATGTACTCAATGTAGTTAAACATTTGTGCATTATTCACAATGTATACAAATAAAAAATTTTGTGCTTGGTAACAGTACATTTCGTTTAATAAATGTATTCAAAAAATGCTTTCGAATTAAAACTTTTCTATTTTCTTTATTATTGTTGCCTACTCAGTAGTCCCGAAATACTTGAGCAATGCTCTGCAGACATCTATGATCAGCAATTTATGCAACGTTATATTGATGAGTACTAGTAACCTGTGAATATCCTCTATTCTTACTGACCATGTTTCATAGCCCTAAATTAGAACGGAACTAACTACTGTGCAGTAAATTCATCGTTTGGTTGGCAAACATGTATCTCTCCCACGTCACAAATGACACAATTCGGCAAAAGCCAATGGAGCCTTCTGTTATCCGGTCCGAGATTTCGTCAGATACCAGACCATCAGGTCTGATGAGACTCCCAAGATAAGTGAAGTGATCGATACGCCCGACTGTTTTACTTTGTCGTCAGTTCAATCGCTGAAGCAAGATTTTGCATATGGAGGGAGAGAATCGCCTCCCGAAATGCTTGCATTGTTGTTTAAGGCGATGAGAAGATTGTATTTCATCAGCGTACTGTTTTGTTTTGTGGCTATATTTGGAATGAGTATGATTCCCATTGAACTAAATACTTAGTACGTACAAAGTTTTTATGCTTATTCCAACAATCTATTATAAGAGATTACAGATGAATTATTTTGGTTACCATATTTAGATTAGGTAAATAAGTAATATAATAAATGTGAAAGTCAGGGAGGCATTTTGAATAAGTCTAAATATCGTGAACAATACATCTTGTGTGTAAACCTTCCACTTGTTTAAACACTCAGGTTTTAATATTTGAGTTCTATGTCCAACATTTACCCTTTTAATTCGATATATCCGTTGAATAATTTTGTTAACTTTTTTAAAAATAAGTTTGACTCAGTGTAGGTGGTATATATTAATATACAGTTGAAATTATCGAAACAGATTGTTAGATAGAGATATACACACTCTTGAATTTTATGAATAGCAATGACCTGATTCATTAGTGAATTGATGAAGAACATGATTATTTTAACAATTCAACTATTGATTTGAAATGTGATTTGTCCTAATTTAATTAATTATTCTTCTGATAAAAAATAATATGAACATATAAGGTTGAAATGAGAAACCGTATGATCAAATGATCAAATAGTTTATCACTATTACCTATTCAATCCTCATGAGAATTCTACTTAAATTTCGTCCAATACAACAGCCTTATTTAAATGTTTCTATTTGTTGGAGAAGTTTCCTTTACAGAGAGCATATCAATTGTGGTTGTGGCATAAATAAAGTTTACAAAATACAGTCACTAATCAATGATACCAAAGTGTCTTCACATTCAGCTGTAATTTTTTTTAGCTCTCTTTGATTTCCTTTCGTTCTAGAGACAGTTGAACAGCCTGAATTCTGAAGAATTCTAGGAATGATTTGAACAATGGAAAAGAAGAGATGAAGTATATGTTATATTATGGCAAATTGGAAGCATTTTGCAAGTGCAAAGATCCATGTACCTTGAACTTTGGCTAGACTCTATAGTTTTGAGATTTTAAGCTTACAGTATCAACAGTGGAGATCGAATGGAGAAAAACTGTCACATTCGATAATTTTTAAGCACATTTTAATTTGATCCGTTTAATATATGGACACAGGAGTAAATTTACAGTAACCTGAACTTTTGAAAAAAAGAGAATACAACATAAGAAATAAATGAATTTCTTCATATGGTTAGTCTATATTTTTACAAACCAATTAATTTAGGTATAGGGGAATCGAGAGGAATACCAGTTGTGAAATATCATTCAAAGAAGAGAATGGTGGTTTCACCATGGCTAATGTGTATATGGTGATAAACCTTTGGTCTTTGTTGGCTTGTTCTGTCGAAAATTTGCATAAAGAATTCCAGAGTTACTCTTGATAAGTTTCATGGTTATCGGTGGTTTTTTTGTGTTTTTAAATTAAGACGGGATCATTGGTGTTGTGTAGCAGATATTCATAGTAATACCGTTCAAACAAACTAAGATTTTCTTAACTTTATTTAACAGATGACTTTATTGACCTGCTAGAGTCCTATTTATTCTTCGGCCTTAATTGTTGATTGCAACAATAACTGTTAGTAAACGAATTGTGGTCTTAAACATATATACAATGACTTGATACATAGTAAAGTGTTGCTTTATTAATTTTTTTGAAAAACAATTTGTCAATAATTACCCATATTTATATTCCATACTGTATTTTTACCAAATTTTTTAAAATTCTACATGAATTTGTCTGAATTATTCACCATGCTTTCAAATAAATTAAACAAAACTCCAAAGAGAAGTTGAATGCTTCAAGTAATGTACAAAACAAATTAGTTTTATTTTCCACAGAAAATATTGGATTTATAATTCTTACTCTTTGCTATATGATGGAAGGTTGACTTTGTCACTTAAGATCATTGACTAGTAACCCTTTTATTCAACTATGATAATCGTAACTATCACTCACTAATTGGTCATAAGTAAATCTCAACAGGATTGTTTGAATTTCTTTGATTCCATAGTTTACACCTTTCTAGGGAAGATCAGCCATTTTGGAGTAGAGTTATGAAGGTTTCTATGGATCCATTATGAATATCACTAGCTACCTGGAATCATAATTTAAACTTGGCCAATAGAATCGAATCAACACAGGATTAAACAGAGCATAGCAGTAGTTACTCTTCGATTACTTTACAGTAGGTTTCATGCAAATGAAATCAATTACATGAAGTACAATAATCTATTCATGTAGCTGAATAGAAGGATGTAGATTGACCAGTCAGTTAGAGATAAGAACATTTCAATAAAACTCGAACTGTATACTCATTTTTAAAAAAAATTTATGTATTTACTTTTTTAAATGTAAGTACTATAACTCTTTCATCGGATCTTGTGGATTAGTTTATTATGTTTCCATAAAAAACATAAATGCATGTGAGATAATGTATATTACTGTTGTTTGTATTTAAGTGAAGTTTACTTATTTTTCATAATTCTACTAATTGTTGCATCCTCACATAAAATTAAGGTTACTTTATACATCTATAAAGAATTTCAGTGAAAATAAATAATAAGTTTTAATTAAATTCGATTCTGTGCTTAGTCAAAATAATATTCAACGGTTCTTAATGGTTAGTAAAAGTAAGTTCCATTAATCAATTGTTTGAGTTAATTAATTAATTAATTAATTAATTAATATTACTAACAATTAATTATTTTCATGATTAACAGGTCGATGTGATAATCAAACTTTTGGTGGATTACCTGTATCATCTATGCTTCAAGATGCTCATTCAGAAAATTTACGTACAAATCAATTCACTTCAACTGGATCATCATGCGCGCAAAATCAATCTCATCATCAGCATCATTTAACTGGAAATAATCAATATCATACACAGTTATCATTACCGTCCAATAATCGATTATTCAATGAATACATGTTTTCCAATAATAATAATAATAGTAATAATTCAACTAGTGAATATTCAACTACAACTTATGCCGAACATAATCCCGGTGTTACAAGTATACTGGATAGCAGCAGTAATTATCCATTTTATTCATCTCATCATTTACGTCAAACAACTAATGTTATGCATAATGCTTTAACTAAATCCATAGAACAATCTCAATCAAATACAACTAGTCAATTAGTTCATTCTATTAATGAAGTGTCTAATTTAACAGCAGCTGAAGCTGCAGCCGCTGCTGCTTATGCATATCATCAATATCAACAACAAGCTATAAATCGTCAAAATTCAATTATTCCACCTCAACCACAACCACCAAGTGCACATACAAATTATCAAAATTTATTTAATCCAATTAATCGTTCACATTATCACTCGGAACAATTAAATAATGAACAAAGAAAAGATTTCAATTTATTCAATCATACTGCACATACAGAAAGACATGATCCAAAAACTGCTTATTTAGCTGAAACTTATCGAAATGCTCAAATGACACCAGGAAGATTTTTATTATGATTTTATATAGCTAAACAATATGTACTCTTACATACATACATACATACACATATACACATACGTATACAATGAACTGTATGCATCTTGTCAATATTCAACTTCTTGATTTACAACGAATATTGTATTAGTCTTAAGCCCCATAGCCTATTGTGAAATATTGATTTTATATATACTTACTTACTAACTTACTTACTTGTCTGGTACTACTTATTATATGGAATTATAATGTAGACTTCATTTTTAATCAATTCTATGATTGTTTTTATTTGAATTATTTCTATGCAATAGAGATCATCATTATTCAACATAATTTAAAATGATCAATATATAATAATTTTAATGCTACCTCGCATTAATTGAATTTTTTTTTCTTTTTTTTTGAGAAAAAAAATTTGAATTAATGACATTGTATAATAATAATAATAATTATTATTATTATTACTATTTGCAATTAAATAATTTTTTTTTCAGTTTTATTTAAACAAGGCGACAGAATAAGTGAGCAGAAAATAAAACATGAAGTCAGTTTATATTGTTATCATTATTATTATTCTTTTTTAGTTGGACAATTATTTCTTCTTCAAAAAAAATTGAAAAAGAAACTGATACTGTAAAACACTTGATTTTATATTTGTAATGTGTTTATTATTCAAATTTCATCACAATAGTGCGTCTGTTATGTCTCCCTTTTTGGTTTTGATCTATAATTTGTGATTTTCCGCAATGGAAGACGTATTAATGAAATATGATTTTGATAAGAGAAGAAAATGAAATGTGCTTCACAAGTACACTAATAATAAGATGCATTTAAGTGCAATAAGAAAAATATTCACTCCTACTTTTGTTCATTATTCAAAATTTTTACCACAGGATTGAAAGTTTTCGCTTCCTCTTCGTCTTCTTCTTCTTATTTTACCGCTATCTCTGTTCTTTTAACTAGTCACACACTCATCATGATAGATAGTATTCATGTTGTGTGATTCCTATTTGTGTAAAGAATAATTTGTGTTTGATTGTCTTGTCTTCCTTGTGTGTTTCTCTTTTTACCAGTACTTACACTTCCTTGTCTTTACTCATTCTTCCTATTGCTAAAACAAGACCTGAGTACTGATATTGCAATTTTTATGTACTTAATACACCAATATTATAGTGTTTAGGGTTCTTTCTCTATCTTTCTCCTTGTTTTACGAATAACTGTAGTAGGAATTATGCGACAAAAAAAAAGTTAACCTGAAACATCCATCTTTTTTTTTCTACGTTGTAAAACAGATAATTATGTACAATTTATACAAAATAAGATAGGTTTGATTGCATAATGGTTTTTCGTGTTTTTGTAAAATCTACTTGTCTTCTTTTTTTTTCTTTCATTTAAATATTTTGGTTTATTTTACACATTGTCTAGTAAGTATTTGTTTCTTGTGAAATGAACCTATTTCTATTGTATCATAACATATGATTTATAGAATGATCTCTGTTGCTTATTTACTAATACTATGACTATTAATAGTAATAATAATAATAATAATACTACAGAAGTCTTTATTGTTCGAATTAATAATTTCTAACTATAACCATTGCATTATACAAGTATATTTTGAATTGTTCTTTTGTTTTCTTGTCTGAAGAAAAGTTGCATGTAAAAATGTCTTGTTTAGTATTTTTCAAAATGATAGTTTCTCACCAATCTTTTCTGTCACCTACTGACACCACGGCTACGATTCATTTACATTTTATATATATATACATATTTATAGTAATAATGGTTCTAGTTCACAAAACGGAGATCATGTTACGTATCTCTGTTATCAACGAATTATATAAGTTTCTCATGTTGTATGTACTCCATTCAGAACTGATGTGTGTCGGAGTATCCCTCTCTCTGTGTCAGCCCACACGTATTCACTACTTGCATGAAAATGTTTATTTTATTTGTGAAAGATGATTTTTGTTTTCTTACACTGTTTCTTTTTTCTTTTTTTTTTTGCATAAACCTAATAATGATATTCTCAATTTTGTTTTATTTCTTCAAAGTGAACATTTTTCTAATTTCAATTACCATTTTAGACATTGTTTTTATGATGTGTTTTGTTTAACCGAAATGGCATACTACGAACAGTGATGATTAGAATATAAGAACAAAATTGTGTATTGTTATCATTATTATTATTTCTCTCTCTCTCTCTCTATACATATATATATATAAATACTGAATAAATTTATACATATTTATTATTTGTCTCAATGTACAAAAGCATAAACAGGAATAGAAATTCACGAAGTAGGAAATCGTTTTTCACAATAACTAGATCCTTGCTCTTCATATTCTTTGCGTGTCACTAAGAAGTGATTGAATGAATCTGAATTTTGACAAAGCAAAACACCACCTTCCCAAGCGTAGGTTTGAGGACTAGTGTTGTTGTTGTTGTAGGAAAATAAAAGTAGCAGAAATAAAATGCAGGTCATTATTATATGAAAGGATGGATATTTTAGATAGTAAACTTAACTAACAATAACACTCATTATTACAGAAACATATAAAGTATATATTATACAAGTACCTGAAGATGGTAATTGATTTAAATTGGCTGCATCTTATCCAGTAACAAAGTATATTCATTAGCTAAATGATACAACGTTAAAAAGTTCAAGTCTATGATGGGTAACAAGTCGTCCTGAAATTGAAGATATTATGAGTCAACAAATATGAACCTTGAGAAAGAGATATTTTGTTAGTTACTTAACAGCCTTTAATAATTAAAGAATAACTATAACAATTTTTATAGTTGTTCTTCAGAATTTACTCAAACAAATTTATTTTTAGACGACAGACAAGAAATTTTTGTATTCATTCTGGTTGGTACATTTCTTATCAATACACTGAGTGAAAATTTTGATAACCTAGTATGAGTAAATCACTGTGAGAAGAAAGATAAGAAGATAACATTTTAAAAAAGCGGATACATCTAAGACAATGATTACTTATTAGCTATAATTCGTGGATACGAACGAGGAAGCGTATACAACGCAGACTTATAGTTGCTTTTTTCGGGCTGAGTTCTGGAGGTTTGTGTTTTTACACATTTGAAATCATCAATCAATCATTTTTAGACCACCATTAGAAACCTTGAAGCACTAGACAGCCGTTTCGTCCTGGTATAAAACTCATCAGCAGTGCGCATCCATGACTCCTGCACCTCGCAGGATTCGAATCCGGGACATTCAGTATTGTGCGCGAACGCCAAACCATCGGACCACTGGGCCGGCATCCAACGGTATTAATGTCTAACTCTGATTGATCTAGGGATTTGGCGCGACCTCACCCATTTGTCTTTGGTAGTTACTGTCTACAGCCGACACGGTTGGACTCCACTGGTCACGTCTTCTCAACTAGAACTCTGAGAATTTCTACACGAAGATAGTCACTAGTGAGCACTGTTACGATATTTTCGGACAGAGTTTTGAAGGTTTGTGTTTTTACACATTTGAAATCATCAGTGTATTCTTTTCCTATTCTTAATCTAACCGAAATATCATGTTTAAGGTATGGAACGGCCAAATAATATAAAACGCGTGAAAACCCAATCAACTGAAATTAGTGGTCTCATCTCACAAAATAAGTGCTTCAGAGATATACATTACCAAATACTTGCAACTGGTGCCTACTTCTCAACTTCAATAATCACATCTCAGCTGTAAACTAATAAAACGAAAAAATTACCTCATAATATAGTTGCTGATTATTAGATGTTCAAATAACATTGAACTACAAATACCCTAAGTTAGAGAGAAATAAGTGAACCTTTCATATCTAAGAAACTATGTCGGCTAACCAGCAGTTCATCATAAACAACAAAACCTTCTGAAAAAAATGAAATGCACATTATCTGTGTCATCATACAAGAGGATCATTTTCTTGCTACTGAAGTTGATTAAGAGAATTATCAGAAAGCGATGAATCTTTAGTATGTCAGAAGAGAAAAGTATATCTTCTGAGAAGAGTCCAGTAAAAAACAAGACTATACATTCTTAATGAATATCATTCAAAGTAAATACTTCAAATAAAAACTTATCGCACTCTTTGAAAAACTTACTTTGGAGGTTTAAAAACATTTACCGGAAGATCGTCAGGTGCTTGAGTACGAATATCTTTTTGTCTGTAATGAAAATGTATAATAATATTTACAAAAGAATATAAATCTAGTCAAAATAAACAAACACCTATTTTTCGAATTTACATTCAAATATGATAGTTGTTAAATAAGCATAGAAGATAATTTCTACTCGTAAAAAGAAAATAACCGTAATTAACTTGTCTAGTTACATTAAACTTATACATATACATGATATTCTCAAATTTAAAATTAATGAGAATAATTGCTTGAAGTGAATAAAAAACTATTCAAAATTCAATAAATTACAAAATTACATGGATAATTCAACATTCAAATATTTCATACTAAGGAAAAAAAAACAACCTAAAAGATTGAAAACAAACAATCAAATCAACATTAAGTTTATCACAGTCTGGCATTATCTGGATATACATGAACTATTTGGTGATTTTTATTATTTGAAAGTAATCCGATTTTTTTATTATTTTTTTCGGACAACTAAAAAAACAAAACAAACCTAGTCTGAATGATTGACCTGAATAAGAAGGAACCTAGTACAATCAGGTTAATACAAAGTGTAGAAATTGAATAAAATTATTTAGACTAAACAAATTAATTTTATTCATGAATATTAATCATAAATTAATAATAATAGAGTTGAATATTATAAGTTTGAACTTACTTAATACAACATACAACTTAATTTACCAATTACAAATTTACATAGTTGGTTTATGAGTAGTTATGAAAGTCAATGATACTCTACTCAACTACTTAAACACTAAAGTAGATGAAATCAGATAATAATTTGGTGAGGAGGGGATGGAGACCTAATGATAGAATGCTGAATGATTTAATTCATTAAACCACACCCATTGTACGTAAAGTAATACGATATAAATTATGTGGAGTTGACTTAGAGTTGTAAAACAAAAACTTGATTTAAGTAATTGTTCAAGAGTGACTAACTTGTGTTCTTGTGTGAAAATAAGCAAACAAACAGATAGAAACATGGCATAAACTAACATGGCGAGCCTTAATTCTAGCAACAAGAAAAAGGATATGTGAATGATGAAAAGTAGTCATTCAGTACAGAAAATAGACAGTGATTATCATATTTTTACTTATGTACTTTAGCAGTTTCCAGAAACTAAAACTTAGTAATAGATGTTTGATGGTTCCATATGTTTAGTTTACTTAAAAAGACAAGCCTTATGAAGGAGATCGACTGGTAGAAACCAACGAAAAGTAATTGGGCCGAATAGTATATGCGTAGATTTACAACCTGAGAGGTAATAAAAAAACAGCATTTTTTTATTGCGGTAGAAAAAGAAACCCTCTTGGAAAGATTTGAATAGAAGAAAACAGATTCAGATTCGGAAAATATTCCGTGAATAGAGTTGGTTTCTTGGAAATGAGACATTTCTACAGTTTGTAAAATAATATATTAGTATACCATGTGAAATGTCAACTCTGTTTGTAGTAACAAGTTCGAAAAAATTGAAGTCTCAATTAATTTCAGTTATAGGTAGGGGGCAATATGAAAACAAAATTTAAGAGAATTTGACAAACATGAATTCATGACAAGTAAAGTGTTCTTAACACGCAACATGTAATACACAAATAATTTAGAAACATATTTTCCAATTAATTATCTAATTATGTAATAATCCTAGATAGGATTTATTCAAACACTGATAAGAACTCACTAACAGTAACTTAATGTTACTTTTCAAGTATTCATAGCGCATTGAATTAAATTACTTGAATATTAAACATTCGAAATATAAAAAATATACAATATCAAATGAGTATGCATTTATACATATATATATATATATATATATATATATATATATATATATATATATATATATATGAAAAGTTTCAAACTAATGTTCAAAGAGAAAATTCTCTAACAACTTAAGATATATTGACATTTAGAATGATATTTACTATTCATAAACAAGTTAATCTTTAATAGATGAGTTCCAATCCTATGGCGATATTAATAATCAGTTGAAATAGAGTATGAAAGAAAAACATCGTTATAAAGATTTTTATGAAATGATTTGAGATGTTTTATTGGTAGAGGTGGATAATGACTAGCAATGGACTCGAGGATGCATGTTTCGTCCTATTTGACACTTGTCAGCTGGATGTACCTACATCTCAGAGTACATGTTCAGTACATGACACGATTCCCGTACCGTTCGCTTTGCTAATGAGTCCAGATAGTCATTTGCTTGTGCAATGGGATGAAGATACTATCAACTACTCCCTCAAAACCAAAAGAGTTTACCTTTGGTTAGTCACTTATGCTTAATGTAAAACTTACTGTTAGGCAGTATTTATGTTTAATGATCAGTTTGGAATTTATATATATATATATATATATATATATATATATACAAAAAATAAATGGGTGAGATTGCGCAAAATCTCTAGATTGATCAGAGTTAGACATCAACATCATTGGATGCCGGCCTACTGGTCCCGAGTTTAGCCGTTCGCGCGCAAGACCGAAGGTCCTGGGTTAGAATCCTGCGAGGTGCAGGTGTGCGCTTCTACCAGGACGAAACGGCCGTCCAGTGCTTCCAGGTTTCAAATGGTGGTCTAACAATGATTGATTGATGACTTCAATGAGTAGAAAACACTAATCTTCACAACTCTATTTGAAAAAATGTATATAATGCCTTAATTTTATTTGACACCTTAGTTGTTTTCTTATACTTTATTTGTAAGTAGTTGATTCAGTTTGTCAAGGTATTCTAGCTTTTGGTTACATCGCAATTATTAATGAATACAAGAGAGGAAAATGCAATAGATTATTTGTATCATGGAAAATATTCAATAAAAGCTTAGACGACTTATTTTAGCATATAGCATAAAATCTAATACATCACGTCCAGACTACTTTATTGGTCGATAGAAAAAATCACAAGCACTTTTTCTGGTTGTATGAGGTATCAGACAGACTTGAATACACATGCACACACACACACACAAACTATTGTCGGACCTCCCAACAGGATGAAGAACACAAGTAGGCACACTTTGTTTACAACATATATTATCATGCAAAAAAACACAGACATGGTATTGTTTGTAGAATTGATTTAAAATGATAGGGATTGAATTAACACACATGTCATGAGATATTATAACAAAAACGGATGGACGTATACGTCATTTTATGAAAACCGAAAAGAGTCTACGACAGACATACGTGTAAAATAAAATTATATTTATTCCATAAGGAATAGTTTTCAATGGTTATGTGTGTTTTGTAAGAAAAGAAGTTACTAGTTGAAGATCAGACACTAAAAGTGTGATGATCAGTTTTTTCTTTTTGATTAGTTTAATTAAACTAATAAATTCTAAGAATGAAATGATTGGTTGCCGCAGGTCATCATCAGCTGGTGTAATTTGATCTAAGACGAGACTTTAAAAATGAACTACAAAAATAGACCCGAATTTTGGTTACATTATTTCACATAAAAAAATTCTATTTTTTTTTCCGGGTAACCAAATACAAGCATATGTATTCGGTTAGGTTTCACATAATTTGTATTTGGATTAATGATAGTTAGTCGCTGTCAGGAACAAAATAAAAGGGTAGTTTACCAAAAACGAACAAAGTGGTTGGAATTTAAATGCTGCAAAACTAACAAGTCTTATTGAACTGGTTGGTAATATTTATGATCTACCTAGATAGTAAGAATTCTAAGTATAGTATTTTTCACCAATTTGAAATGCATTGAATCATCTCGTCGTTAAAAATTGTTGACAGAAATTTGATCATTCTTGGTTGAAATATATGCAGCTTATGAGGATTATCTTGATACACCCATCAAGACACAAGTTAAGACAGAATAGAATGCCATAGCGTTATCCACTTAGCTATTGAGTTCAAATAGCCGTCTACTTGTGTTTGAGTCCCGCAGTGAACATCAACTATGTGATTCAGATGCATCTAGCTGACAAGTCTCAAACAGGACAAAACGTGGACACTGAATTTCACTGCAAGTCCTATTGTATCTATTCTACACTGATATCATTGTTTAAGAACAGTCTTCATAATTCATTTGATTTGATTGTATTTTTTAACAACAAACTGAAACATATTGAACAATGTACCATGTGTAAATTAGGAGAATGAATATAGTAGTATCACTAAATCATTTCGTCAGTTGAATTGGTGCGATAATTTACAACAAATGAGATTTGTATATTCGAACGAACTATTCATCACACTACATCGACACCAATTTATGTGTTCAGAAGAAATTCATGACACCCCTATCTCTTCCGTGGTCGAATATAACAAACGTTCTAAAAATATTTTTGTTTTTAACTTGATTTTGTTATTATTAACATTATTTTCACATCCTGTATTTGTTTGTAATTCTCTGTCTCTTTCCGTTTATATTCTTCACTATCTAATTATCTACACACTTCTAATTACGTAATGGTTTTAATGTTTTGCAATGACTATTTAAAGTCTATTTATCCACATTTGACCTATTGTTTCCAATGTTGAACTATTGATAAAACGTTTGTTATCATATTTTATTATTCTTATTACTATCAGTACACTTGTCTTCCTACTATCAACTTGTACTTTTACCAAGTATATGTGGTGACGTGATTTATTTCATCGTGAATATTGACTGAAATCGAATTGATTGATTTGACATCATATAAATATTCATGTATATTAGAGTAAAGCGTGATGACGATCTAATTGAAAGCAATAGTGGTCGCTTATATGTGTTGTTCTAATTTTCACAATGGTAATCTCTACTATTCTATTTTAATGGTTGATCGTGAACTAGTTAGTTTCTTATCGAGTAATATTACTGATTATTGTTGCTGGTTCTGTCATTTTAAATGTAAGAATTATGTATTTATACATGTGCACTGATATGCTCAAACAATCTCATGAATCTGATCGGTCTCAAATGAGTTATCCCAGTAAACTTAATAACATAAGGATGTAAAGAGTCAGATTTTCCAATGAGATTTTCATGTTAACAGTGAACTGTTAATGCGTAGTTCTGATTAAATATTACAATTATGCTTAGATGACACGATGATAACGTTTTGAATGTACTACTGATATTTTACTTGGGAACTCGTTTGCATGACTAGCAAAAATCTGTTTATGCATACAAGGAAAAATTATTCTTAAGCAACAAGTTAATCAGATTAACAAATATATTTGGCTGAACTTGTCAGTGAATAAATTCAATCGAGTTAATTTATCAAAGGGAAAACAAGTTTTCTTATTATTCAAGAGTATTTGCAGTCAGTTCTTACTGATAACACAAAATAAACAAGATTAATCAAAATCATTAAGACATTTTTTGTCATGTTGACTATTAAGCCTTTGAAGTTCAAACTTCGTGTTGCAGCACCATCTCATTACATTGGGTAAATAGTTGAATGATTCTGTGAAAAGGTTATTAAAACGATATCCATAAACTAATTCAGCACAAGATCGACTGGCTACTTAATCAATGATTTAAGTAACTTATCAATATATTTGAAAAAACTGTCGAATTGCGAGAGTCAAGTTTTGTCATATAGGTTAAAATTTCCACCAAAATTAGAAATCAGTAGTCTGGTGTATACAGAACGCAGCAAAAATTTGACATTATATTATGTATACCGTCTAGAATGGAAAAAACTCAACTAAGTAACAATTCAGTAAGAAATTTACTCGAATTAGTATAAAACCCACTGAAAACTTACAATCGTTCCACAAATCCTGGAAAACATGCATTGCCACCCATAACCATAACATTTGCCCAAGCTCCTGGCCTTACTGCAGCAGGTAACCGTTCATTCATCAAGTACTGGATAGCTTCTGTAAGTCCCATTTCTTGATAACCCACATCAGATGGATGAAAAATTAATTCTGGAACTGTAAAACGCTCATTATTCAAACGTAATACATATCCTTGCTGTGATATATTGGAAGCCCGTTGTTCTGATTTATCATTACCACTACTCCCAGCAATCACTGCATTAGGATCGCGAACATATCCACGGTGTACATCTACATAGTTTGGCAGTACATATTCCCTTAAAATGCTATTTGATTTTTGATTTGATCTACGTAAAAAGAAACATAAACAAATAAGTAAATACTAACAACAAATGTAGCTTCTTAGCTCAGTAGCACTCAATGAATAACTTAGTGTGTACCTGTCTATCCACCGAACAAGGCATCATTATATTTAGTGTACATTACTTTAAAGTATTCATACTGTCGTTCTTGTTTGAATATTCTAAAAAAGATATGTTCATTCAAAAATCTTTCACAATTATGTCAAACAAATATAGAGTTTTGTAACTGATACGATTTTTTAAATGATAAGAAGTATGTTGTTGTACACCATCCATTAAAAATATAACACACAACACTTAAGGAGGGTAAGGTCGAATAGTTATTCTGTTGAAGAAGTGAACCGACAACCAGTATATAATTGTCCTTTGTTCTATCTATGACTAAGAATAAATACATGTAGCAAATCCAGTTATCTCAACATTCTTATATCTATTGACTTATATTGTTGAGAAACCATCCAACTGATTTATGGTTATACTGTAGTGAAGGAGAACATAGGTGAGGGCAACCGAATTGTATTACAGAGTTAGTCGGTAAAATAGGAAAACCATATCGTAAATCGTTAATTTGCAAAATATCAATCCATCATATCGAACTGGACTGTCCGTTCCTGTTGCAAAACATCAATCCATTGTCTGACATTGTTCACTGTTCATGCCTTTCATACAAATCCCATTGTGTTCCCACTCTTCCTTTCTTGATCTTCCCCCATCTTCTGCTGCCAGACATAACGTTTTTACTCGCGTCATATACTACTTATAAGTAGAGCGCACCACAATACCAATAAATGAGCATATCACACACAACGTAGTAGTGATTAAACATAGACAACTTCACAATACTTAAAATACTCACGGACAATAATTACCAAGTAATTCAATCCTAACTATTCCCAAAAATACAGCATCATATTACAAACAATAATATTTTAAAGAAGACTCACCGAGAAATGTTCATATCTCGCCAAAAGTCAGTAGATACATAACATACATCTTCTTTGCATTGATTCATTATGTATATTTCACTTCGAACATCTAAATGTCTATGGATAGTAAATTATGATCATGGTGAATTAATAAAATTACCGATAGGATACAGCTTCAATTAAACAATTTGTTAGAATTTTACCACCAACTGTAAGCCTTGAATAATAGTATTATAAAAGATGATAAGAATCCTCATTAAAAAGATAAATACCGTATGACAAAATCTTTCATAACAAATCCATCAGCCATCGGTACAATATGTGTAAATGAGTAACCAGAATCAATAACTACACAATATCTTGAAAGACGTTGAGCTGATTCACTTCGATATTTGTAAGCGCTTAAAAATGCAGCTGAAAAGAATCATTGAAGTATACATAAATCGTTGAATTAACTTACGATTTGTACGAATCAAACCAGCTACTTGATAATCTTCAAAGAACACTTCATTCATAGCTTCTTTAGTTGATGAGAAATTGAAATACGGTTCAGTGACAAGTAGATTACAATCGGATAAGGAATTTTGCTGGAACAAATATAATAAGAGAATAAAAGCTACCTACTGAGTTTGTTTTAACTATACTTTTAAGAGTGGTATCTAAGATTTGACACTGAACCTCCCAGTTGTTAATATAGCCCTGAAAATAGAAAAAATGTTTTAGATGGGTATATATCTTTAATGGATGGATTTTTAAAAAAAGATTTAAAACAGATAAATATTGTACTATGTAACCTTCATTAATGATGCGAAACAATAAACGCTTCTTGTAATAATTATAATTTACTTCCACAGGGGAGTAGACCACGCTCACAGGTGCGTAGATGAATGATGTGAGAACCGAATCGTAGCCACAGGAAAACGTTAAGTCACCCAACCGTAGCTACTACCTTGGTGTGGTGTTCAGGCTTGCCTATCGTGATGACTCAACTGAACCACAGCGGCTGGAACACTTGTTTCTTTAGGTTTTACCATGACAATCAGGTTGGTTGGAGAACTGTTAGACTAAAGGCAACAATTTAAGGTCTGAGGGCTAAGTTGTACTGCTGACTGTAGGGATGGGCACATTAGCCATTATCAATCCAGGAGATTAGATCGACGAGCAGAACACTTTAGGGAGCAGTTCGATTGGTCTTCAGTCACAATTCAGTTACCCACGATCTCTAGTCAATCTGAATGGCAAGTTGATGTAAGTCAACCGACTCTTGATGAAGTTCAAAAGTTTATAGGCAATCTAAATCGAAGGAGAGCAGCAGGACCCGACGGAATAACCCCCTGAGGTTTTTAAAAATGGTGGTCCAGTTTTAGCAATTAGATTGAGTGAGATCTTAGGTAGAATCTGGGAACCGAACGTAATTTCATCGGACTGATCTCAATCACAGTCCCAGTCTATAAAAAAGAACAAAAGTCCACTTGTGACAATCACAGAGGCATCAGTTTAAATAATATAGTGTCTAAAATATTAGCTTCAATAATACTTCGACGCCAACCTAGAGCTCGTAAAGAGTAAACCCGAGCAAACCAGGCTTGTTACAGACCTAACCATGGATGGAAGATCGATAAATGTAGTAGTGAATCTTGATCAGTTGAGGTGGTTGGAATATGTGTTACGTATGCCCAGGCACCGGCAATGTCGACGAGCAACGCTTTCTGGTGTGGTAGTAGGACGGAAGAAAGCTAGGGTTAGCCAGACCAAAACATGGCATAAATCCATGAAGTCATCGACAACTGGACTGAGCTGTGTTGGTAGATGTAGACTACAGATAATTTTTGGCTGTAAAACATGGTCAGTCAGAGTAGAAGATATTCGTAGGTTACTGGTTTTAGATCATAAGTGTCTTCGAAGGATTGCTCGAGTATCGTGGGACAACTGAGTAAGGAATGCTGTCGTTAGGACACGGGTGCTAGGTAAAGATGGCAGGTCAACAACTATCAACTAACACCGAAGTTACCATTTTCAATGCAAATAACGAGACAGTCCTACTGTATGGGGCAGAAACTTGGAGGACTACGAAAACCATCATCCAGAAGATACAAGTATTCACTAACAGTTGTTTACGCAAAATACTTCGCATTCGTTGGCCAGACACTATCAGCAACAACCTACTGTGAACAGAACAAAGCAGATCCCAGCGGAGGAGGAAAACAGGAATAAGCGCCTGAATTGGTGGATAGGACGCACATAGAGGAAAGCACTCAAGTGAGTCACAAGATAAGCCCTCTCTTGAAACCCTCAAGGTAAAAGGAAAAGAGGAAGGCCAAGGAACACATTACTCCGAGAAATGGAGACAGTCATGAGGTGAACAAAAATTGCATGGAACTGGAAAGGCAAGCTTAGGACAGGGTGGGTTGGAGAATACTGGTCGGCGACCTGTGCTCCATTGGGGGTAACAGGCCTAGGTAATTCCGAATCCGAATAATTAACCAAGCATTACTCATCTGGTAACCCTACGATACGCGAACAACGCTTTGAAGATAGCAGTAAACAATAATAACCTATGAATAACCTCTATTTTTGGAGACCAATTCACAGTCATGAAGCATTACAGAGCAAACTTACGTAAAATATACGCATCTTTTGGTTGGCAGACGAACGTATCGCCTACAACTGAAATAAGTTGATAAAAGCTGGCGGAGGTTTCTGAATCCGCATAGGGATTTCGTCGGGCATCTTTAACGCTGATGTTATGCATTTCAGTGGTCATAATATAGATAAATAATATATATATATATATATATATATATATATATATATATATATATATATATATATATATATAAGATTGCTACTTATATAGACAAGTGGTAGTATGTAGGGCGTAGTAAACGGAGGAAAGCTAGCTAAGGAATATATAAAATGTCAAACTAACAATGACATCAGATTACTCACTTTTTTGAATGGCATGACACAAAATAAACTCGACAAATTATTGCATTGTTCAATTTCATTCCCAACAAATGTACGACCACCAAGGGTTTTTGATTTAAAAATGGAGTTATCAATAATCCTTTTAGAAAATTGGGACGAGTAAGCTCAAGGGAAAATTGAAAATTACTTTGGATGAGGATCAGTAGAAAATCCAATTTTCAGTGACCCGCCACCCATATCGAGTATTAACGTTGATGATGCCATTATTGTGACAGATTAGAACATGTATTTAGAACTATTGCACGTAGTTAAAAAGGCTACAACCGGAAAACACAAGAAGGTAAGCAAAATATGTTGTCAATTTAAAGAGAGAAATGACTAAATTGAACAATATCCACACTCGACACATAAAAGCATTATTCAGACTACATTAATGCTATTAGGTAGACTCCAACTTGTTTTAATTTAGGAATCAATACTATATTTGTGTCTCATTTTATAAAAATCCCGGATACAGTATCATCCTATACTTTAGATTCTCTTACTAGATCCATTTTTTTCAACCATACTTTGTCGTTCAGTTTATTACTTCCATATACCTTTCAGTCTTGATGCGTTATGGTGAGGCTTGACAATTAGAACAAATATACAGTATTTTTAGAAACTACGACATTTAAAATTGACTAAATTAAAAACCATTTCTATTTTGAAGCTTGATTTAATGTCACAGTCCAACTGTATATAACATTAACAGAAATCCTGACAAACATTTACGTTGGTTTATGCTAACAAGATGGAAAAAATTCTGTGTTATCATTATGGATAAACTGGAAAACTTGGCGAAATGTTAATACCCAGTAATTGGGGTTTAGCATCGTCGCTTGGAACACCGAAGATCCTACTTTTACGATATGTTTAAAAGAAATCAAGGAAATAGCCAACTACGTGTTAGTGTGACAAAACAGAATAATTCACAGTTTGTTAAGTTTATTCAAATTACTTCCTGAAAATTACTAATTTTTCAGAGATTCCACTTCTTATGACAGCTTCCAATTATGCAGGATGGTTTTCCACCCGGAATTCTGGTCGCAAAAACAATTACTGCAATAAAATGCGGTGATTATCAGAGAGAATTAACATAATTATGGTGAAGAAAGGAGCGGTGGTTAAAATTACTTTGTTGTAAAATAGCTCTAATAAGTTTTCAAGACTTGCGCTAGTAAAAGGATACAAAATTGATTCACGGTGAAATTCATGTAGGATAACGGATAAGAAGGATTCGCTAATAACGAACGTTCAAGTAATCAGTACGATTGCTATCACATATATCATTTGATAGCCTATTGTTTCACGTTGACATTCCAATAAACCCCAATTTATCACAAATAGAGTTATTCCCATCAACAATATACTACGCAAGTAAATTAACGCCGTTAAGCAAACATTCCTTACCGGGATGAATTGATATACTGGCAAAATGTGTAGACTCACATACCAACTTTACGATAAAGTAACGCAACATTCATATTGTCGACGCTATTCACTACCATGGAATAAAGATAGGAGTGCAAAGCATCTGAGAAAAACATGATTATATAATGATATAAAACCTAATTTTTCATCTGTGATCCAGAAAATAGACCAGGTGGCTGTGCTTCTGCCCGTGTCAAGTGGCTTTGAAACTAATCAACTGACTGAGTATGTATATAAAAAAATACTGGTAAATGGGTGTATTCTATCATAAGATATGTCCTGAACCAAAAAATTCAATTTATTTATCATGCTAAATATGAGTGAAATGCATTTAAATCGACCAAACGCTCATAAGCCTCACATGCATTTTGAATGGTCTGTCACAAGTCATATTTGCACATATAAACCGGGCAACATCGAGGAAAATAACACATAAACGTTTTTCCTACTTGAAAACACTATAAACACGTATATAAGCATGTATAAAATACTTCGACCTGTTTTATCCTGGTAAGATAAGTAAGTAAATACATATATAACACAGGAAACAAGTTTAAATATCAGCCTTTGAGACTGTCTACAGCCAGTTGCTGTTTGCCAGAAAACACGATTGGTTTGCTAGAAATATTTGTTGTTATAACCTCTTGTATCAGTGATTGTTTTACTGTACCTTATAGATTAATTGTACCAAAAACCACATTTTACGATTTTTGTGATCTTGACCTTGATCACGTTTGCACGATAGTCCCGCCTGTATATCTTGTCACGATTTCGGTATTATCTCGATACCATGAGATTGCCAACATATACTAATCCCAATCTCAAGTTTCCTTTTAATTTCTGTTCTCTGGAGATATTTAACCTGGTAATTTGTACGTACTTGGTGTATAATGGTGATCATAGTCAACTGTGACTTGTTCTATTACAAACGTAACGCCTCTTCAAGATGGTGTCGTTTTAGGTTGTTTTTTTTCAAAATAGATGGCTTTCAGCCGGTCTATGCTGATGTTGTCTTGAGTCCCATTCCTGCCTTTGGTATAGTACTTAGGTTCGTGATGATGGACTTTATAGGGTCTTTGGTATGCAGCTTCGAATGGTTGACGTAATGAGTTGCTATGTAGGAAACGCGTGTACTAAGTTGTAAGGTGGATGGGAAGAATTAATCAGTCTATCGCAGTCGAATGGAAACATCTTCAGTTGTACGCATTACGTTCAAAGGCCAGTTCATTTCTGAGTTTAGATGTAAGTCTTTTGAAGCAGATGGTGAATCAACGAATTCTCCTAAGAGTCAGAGTGTAACTTCGCAAACGTGTTCGGCTGCAGCACTTATTCTTCCAGTGTCGGAATTGATTGTTGTGATTTGAAACTCGAAGGTGTAATATTGTTTTGGTAATTGTCTGTATTTCCCTTTTTGATTAAAAATAGAACCGTTCTTTCCCAGAATGGGCGAGACGCGTGTGAACCTACAACTTTTGGATTCAGAGCTCAATGCGAGAGTAGTAAATATTTCTACAGTGAAGACATTGAGTCGATGATGGTTTGGTACAAATGGACGGTCCCTACCTATAGAAGCACCACAAACTAAAGTATCCTTATCTGCTCCCATCTGTTCGATTCGTAGTTTCAGGGTTGTCAATGATGAGTGTCCTCTTTTCAAAGCTAAGCGGGTTTAAGAAGTTTGAGTCCATCAAAACTGCTCAAGGAAGTTGTATGAGATGAAGTGAATGCATCCACAGCTTTTACCCTAAAAATGCTTTTTTAACCTGTGTTCAGCTCTTGGATGTAGTCCAATTTTTGGTACAACCTAGAAGAGTGCTAATCTGAAGACTGACTAAGATAAAAGTATAGGGTTTGTGATTTTGGTAAATGTGTATTCCCAGCCTTCCAGCGATGGTTGAAAGTATTGTGCAGCACAATATATAGCTTGAGTATCCCTGTCAAGAATGCCGCACCCCGATTCAGCTTCCTGTAACCATCTTAAGACTCCTTCGATTTCTGGGCCAGATGAGTCGACTGCGTCGTAAGTGAGTGCTTTGGTGTCGAGATATGCAAGTAAAGTTACATTAGAGGTATGTTCCTACGCTAGAGAAGGTGCTTTCTTTGAAGCGTCCCCAAAGTAAATGATGATTTTCTCATTTCTGTTTCGTGCTTCGGCTAAGAGTTTCATGAGAGATGTGAAGTCCGATATGAACCTTCCGTAGAAAATTATCAATAGACTGAACGTAAATAGGTGCTCGAATTTATGGCTACCACTTTGCTTTACAAAGGCCGAATACCTTGAGCACCAATTGTATGTCAACGGAATGGGTTTGATTTGATGTTTATGTAAGCTAAAAGTAATGCAATATTTTTGAAGACGTAGGAACAGGTTCCAGATGCTAAGGGTCAGGTTCTCTGTGATTAGACTGTCATCAACATAAGCCCGCACGGAGAGGAGACTTCCAAAATATCATCAATGAATCTCTGAAAATTTGATTGATATTCCATAGGCCGAAATTTGGGGAGTTTTCGAGAACACATGCGGTCCTGTAGTCATGATTTCATGTACAAATTTACTAGTTACTTACTTATATTGAAGTTGTTCGGCATAGATTGGGGCACCTGTTGAATAGTGTTTGGAAGAAATGGTCCATTATATGTCTAACAGTCACTGGATATAACCTACAGCCGCAGAATAAAACACCACAAACAGATATTTCAGTGTTATCGTCTACTAATCTCTATTATCTTTGGTTGGTTAGCCGGTTATGGTGTTTCAGAAGGTCTCTACCAGTAATTGGCACTGATACGTCTGCCAAAGTCCACAGAATGGATTTACATAGTCCTACGTAAATGTAAACATACATTTTTCATAAAGTTGTGATCAGTTTACCGTTTTCTACCTCGTTAGTAACAACATTTCTATTGACGAGTAACATTGTTTTTCATTGTTGAGGAATAGCTGCTCTAACCTTTGTCGTTCATTTAGGACCTCAATTGTAGGAACTACTTTTTCCGGAGTGTCGCATGGTTTGATTAAGCGATGCTGCTCAAACGAAAATAACAAAAACTAAAGAAGTGTGAGTCCTTGTGTAGTGCTAGGACATATAACAAACAGGAATGAATACTAATAAAGGTGTATGATAATTAAAACAGCAGCTTACCGCACTTGCACATCGTAACATCTATTTCATGAATTAGTGGACTCTATCTTATAATAAGATTATCTGAAACCCTAGTTTGATCTTCTGATAATTTCATTATCTAGTAAGTTTTATTGTAGGGGAATAAAGGTTATTACTTCTTTTAAAAAAGCCCCAGTTACTACAATTTATTTGTAATTATCTTCCCGAATATCAACAAATCACGTTTTAGTCTGTTACGTCCTAACTTTATTTTCACATTAATTACTTTTGATATGTTGGTTGGTCTCATGCACTACTAAGGAAACTAGGAAAACAAGACTTACTCAACCATTTAACATTTTAGTATAGTGGACGGGATTTCGAACCAACGAAATTAGTTGACAGATTTCATTTTTGTCGATATAATTCAACTAACAACAAGGGACCAGACAAACTAGACTATGGTCATTACTAAGTGATCAGTCAGTTGTAACATCTTTATGTACCTCTGTTTAGTGCTCATCGCTATGATTTATAAACCGTGATGGTTCACATTTCTGTCTCAACAAGTTATTTATTTATCTGTATGTATTCTTATCCTGATATTTTACAAACTCCTCTTCCAACTGCGATAATACTTAATCATCTCTTATTCATTTACTTAATGCTAAGAATTGTGCTAGGATATTCATCCAATATCCTAAGCGAATTATTGGTCAGTTCTATTGGTTAATTTCTACTGGTCGATTTTATGATCGTCCTAGATATCAGTGTCACGTGCTCCAATGTTGTTTCTTATTGGTCATCCTAACTGTCAGTGTCACAGACTTCGATGATGTTTCTTATTCAACCTGAATGTATAAATACGCATTATCTGTAACGTTCTATGGCCAGGACCCGGTCCCGGATCCCTAGTCTGGGATCCTGATTCTCTTCTGGACTCGGACCTCGTACTTTCTGGATGCTTTTAGAATGCAGGTTCTACTTCATATCAAGCTTTCTTCTTTCATTCAATGGGGGTTGGGACAATCGGATTGAGTAGCATGTCGTGTCACCGGATCCTCGATCCTTGCCCTCGTTTTCCGACTAGGTAAGCTCGTAGTATTTCAAGCATATCAAAATGACGTATTTGCGTGCAGGCGTAACAAATTGGTTGGATATCGACCAGCATATACAAATCATGTGATATCTCCAAATGATAACTTTAACACTTCCACACTTCTCATTACAATGCGTTGAGGGTGACAATAATCCTTATCAAGACTTCTTGCTTTTGTTTGTGGAGCCCAGGACAATTGTATTAGAATCGCCTATCGTGTCAGTGCACTATTTATCTGCGTTCCGTTTACCGAGTAGGGTGAACTGGTAACAGTTTCAAGCATATCAGCTGACGAGCATATCATTTACATATCCTCATATTATACACAGACTAGATTGGGTTGCCAAGTTTATGTCATCAATGAATTAGATATTAGAACGATACACCACACAGAGATTAGATCTTATTGAACCTGATACGCGATCAAAAACCAAAGTAGAGAAATAATGTAAAGGATATAGACTATATCTTATTCCACACACAAAGCAATCACATTCACTGAGTTTGGAATACAAATCAATGATAGGAAATAAAATCACATATTTAATCATCAGTAGGATGTGCCTATTTGTCCATGCTTGATGATCAGTTACATTTTCCTTTCACTATCACACATCAAATCTAACTTTTGATTTTAACTGAAAAATCAAACTTCAATTTCAACAAACTACTACTGATTTTCTGTACATTGAAATTTCCTTTCATGAATAAGTTCTGCACAATTCACATCACGAATGAAACATAAAATGTAATAAATTTTCTAATCCTTTAAATTTAAAGACAGAAATTATTTGATACTTTAATAAACATTTATTAACTTCTTTTGATTTGTGTACAGAAAGTATTTTGATATAACAGAGTGTATTACTTAATGATTATGAATTATTATAACCAATTATAATAGCATCTACTTCCATGACAAATTTCTTAATATCATACTGATGTTAACCTTGAAACAATCTAGTTATTGAGACTGTGTTTTAATGAAACAACTCTTCCTAAATATGTTGTATAACAAACATCACCAAGAATCAATTCATAGTTAAGCGTATTCAGATGCATCAAATTAATATCACGAATAGGTAGTCTGCTCGGATGTCCATTAATCAAAACAGTTGTATAACCAGTGGTAATCTAAAACAAAAAAGTAAATGTAAACAAACACATACAGACTTGCAATATCATAGTGTTAGAGTAAGTAATTATAAATACGCGCTAAATTACAGAAATGAAATTTTAATCAGATTTATGTTTTCCGGAAATGCGGAAATTAGCCAGCATAACCTTTCGAAAACCAGCTGGTATATCTACATATTAGTGACTTAGAATCTGTTGGTCTAAATAATTTAGAGCTCTCAACTTTCTGTAGAATTCAGTCTATAATTCAAGCATTCAAGCATCTCAGAGAGTCTTCATAATGTATTTGATAGTTGAAATAAATTGATCAATACAGAATCAGTTTTTGTGACAAACCGACAGTAGTCAAAACCTTGTCCTTTGAAGTATTTGAATTTTTTCTTGTTGTACTAAAGACAATTATTGATCGATAGTAATGCACCATAATATACCCCGTAACCAAAAATGTTGTTATTTCTAATGTCCTGTGAAAAATTTGACATACTGTACAGAATTTTGATTTTGTTACAACGGTAATATTCACATATTCCTACTAGACACTTTGTTATTTAGTCCAGTGTTTACAAAAATTATCTGCAATATAAGTACTATTTAAAAAGAGATAAGTTAGGATTGACTCAGTAAATAATTTATGGTTTGTATAATTGAATTTGTAGTAGAACGCTTCTACGAAGAAAATACGATTTGTGAAAAATAAACATTATCGTACTCGTTTTGTTTAACTGTACCAAAAACACTTCTTCTACTTCTTGCGCGCAACGTTCTCTTTGCGTTGCTGCCATTTTTCTCTATTTGCTGTTCCAGATGTAATGCCTACTGTCTCCTTCAATAAAACTTTGGAACATGGATTTATTTCGATTTTAATGACCGGATCGTAAGGAACATTTAGTGGTGAGCATAGTCAATCTGGTATCTTGACTCGCTCACTACAAATTCTTCAATTAAAGTGCTTCATTATGAAAACCAAGTTACACAAATTAATAAATAAGAAAATTTGAAGTTAATTTAGTAAATGAATCTAATCTATCAATAATTTTCGAAATAGATTTGTTTTAAATTTTTCCTCACCTTCAAATAAATTATTTGAGTTACTTTGTTAGTAGTTTTATTTCAATTAGTGTGATACTTTAAATCATTGGAATTTTTTTCCTCAACAAACTGTAGGTAGACCATTTAAACTGTTACACATTTATCGTTATGTAGTTTACAAGCATAAAACAAATCAATTACATTTTGTAAATTTCAAACGACTAGATTTTTAATATACTGAAGTAATTTTAATGGTAATATTTAACAAAAACTACTCACTTTTCCACATTGATCTTCTTCAATATGAAATTTGTGTAATGGATGATATCTTTCTAAAATTGTATCATCATCACCTAATAAACGAATATTTTCAGCTAAAGATCTAGTTGAATTAACTTTCATATCGGATAATCCAGCGCAGGATAAAGATATACGTTGTACAGCCAGATCACTTGATAATTTTAAGAAGTTCAATTGTTCCGCATCAATAGCATAGTTTAACTAAAAAAAAAAACAAATTTTACAGATTTAAGAATATGATCGAAGACAATCAAGGAGAATTCTAGATTTTTAATAACAAATGCCTCATATAAACTTTATTGTCAACTTGTACTATGCCTTCAAGTTGTATCATATTTTTGGACACAATATTCTTATTTCTATTAGTGTTGAGTCCGTTTGTCGATAGAAAACAATGTAAACTTTCGTTGATTATTTCATATCATTACGTTTCTAATTTTTAGTCGAAATCAAACAGAGTTATTTAGAACTAGTGTTTATATGTCAAAAGTCTCACCATAACTTTTGTTAGCTTAAAACATATATACCAATCAGGTGTTCAACCCTATTTAGTAACTCGTCAACATTTGAAATATCCAACGCTGCAGAACTACGTAGTTCAAATGTAATTTCCAAATTGGCATATTTGTAATCCATGTATGATAATGGAGTTAAAAAAACCAATTCAATTTCATGTGAACTGACTGATTGTTTCTATGATGCAGTTTAGCAGCCAGACGAATTTAAAAAAGAAAGAGCAGAAACTGACCTAGTGTGTAATATCATACAATATTCTCAAATAAACTGCTAAATAACTCTTGAAAATATCGAGAGGAAGAATAAATAACATTTAGTGTTCCGTGTTTTATCATTAGTTTGCAGAGAAAATATGCCTCACACTACGTTATCATTGTAAGAAGTCAATTTAAGCCTAGACCTTATTAAATAGATCTTAAATTTAGAATATTATTTCTAGGCTACTGACTCTGGTTTCAGTAGTAAACGTTTCCGTGAAAAAATAAATCTAGGAAAAGAAAATAGTAGATATTTTATTCTTACCTCATTAAGTTCCTCTATTTCTTGAAGCCAAAATCTACTATTCATGTTAAGACGTATATTGTCCATTGATATTTTGACTTGTTTTGGTTTGATACACGTTTCTTTAGTCTTCATACGACAATTAACTTTAATAGGACTGCTTATGATGTCACCAATAGGGTTAATCCAGTATTCACCTGTATGAGATTATACAACATATAGTGCAAAAACTGAATTAAATTTCCTAGTCGAAAAATAAACGTTTAGAATTAAAATTAAATCTCCACTTTAAGGAATGCGTTAAAAAGTGATTATTCTATTTCATTTCAGTGGCACACGATGCCTTACGTAATTTCAAGTGTTTTTTTTTATAGGATAATGACTTGTGGTGATATTAACGAGATGATTAAGGATAAATTCTATCTTGTTGGAACATTAAAAATGGCCTGTAGATCCTAGAATATATCCATAGGTTACTGATTATATGTACGGTTTTACAAAAGGACTGAATCGTTATTTTCCAAGGCCAAAAGAGAAGAGGTAGACCAAGGAATACACTGAGCTCAGAATTGGAGACAGACATGGAAAAGCGATTTGGAAGAAGTGAAATGGAAGGCCAACGAGAGAGTTGATTGGAGAGTGCTGGTTGGTGGCCTATGTTCCATGAGGAATAACAAGTGTAAGTAAAGTAAATAAATAAATAACGTAAAACTATTGCAATTTTCTGTTTCCTAATAAACGTAAGAGTACTTGTGGAAATGAAAAAGCAATTGTAAGCTTATTCTTAATATCTCATTGAAATAACCCAAAGCTTGGTCACTCAATAATTTTAACTCACCATCAGGCTTATTAGGATGTAAATCCGCCAAATGTGCACAGGTTCGGGCAGGCAGTTCTGCTGTTCCTTGAGGAAGAATTGTTTCGATATTTCCAAATCTCCTTTTGATTGCAGGATCGTCTCCATACATTATTCCTTTTGTTCTTGAAGCTCGCGCTTGCATAGATACGATTTGACCAGGTGGACCAGGCAAGCCAGGGGGACCAGAGGGTCCTTGTGGACCAGGTGGTCCCAGTTCCCCATCTCTACCAGGAGGGCCAAGTGGCCCGACCTCACCTGGATCTCCTCTATCACCCCGCGAACCTCGAGATCCCATTGGACCTCGTTCTCCCACTGGACCTGAAGGACCTCTTTGTCCCTGATCTCCCGGATACCCCACAGGACCATCCAAACCTGGGGGTCCAGGAGGTCCGATTGGTCCTTTTCCTCCAGGTGCTCCTTTTGGACCTGGCTCTCCTTGTTTCCCTGGACGACCATCTTTACCAGGAATACCTGGTTCTCCGGTGTCTCCTCTAGGCCCTGTTTCTCCCGGGGACCCAGGGGCTCCCGAAAGTCCTTGTTCCCCCTTACTTCCCGCAACTCCAACGCCACCAACAGATCCACGAGGTCCACGCATACCTGCACGTCCGATCGGTCCAGCTGGTCCAGGTTCTCCAGGTTTTCCAACTTCTCCGGGAGGTCCTCTCGCTCCTGGAAAGCCAGGATGACCTCGACGGCCTGGTGGTCCAGCTCTTCCTGGCGGTCCCGCGTCACCCACGTCACCAGCTTCACCAAGTTCCCCATGCTTTCCCGGAGATCCTTGTTCTCCAGGTGGGCCTTCACTGCCCTCACTACCAGGGGGACCTTCCGGACCAGGTTCTCCCGGTGGTCCCATGAATCCTGGATAGCCATGAGGACCAGCTTCTCCTGGTTTTCCCGGTTCCCCAGCATCTCCTTGCTTACCTCTTACTCCAGGCTGTCCACGTTGCCCAGTCGGTCCTTTCCTTCCTACATTTCCGTTAAGTCCTGGTGGTCCTGTCAAGCCAGGCTCCCCTACGTCACCTGTTGCTCCAGTTGGTCCAGGTGTTCCTCTCGGACCTGTTTCACCTCGAGGACCAGTCAGCCCCATAGCCCCCTTATTCCCGGGTGGGCCTTGTGGACCTTGTTCTCCAGCTGGGCCGGGCTCACCAAAGGGACCTGGTGGTCCAGGTGGGCCGTCATCCCCTGGGCTGCCATCTGGACCGTCTTCTCCATCGACTCCGGGCTGGCCATCTGGTCCTGGTGGTCCGGGTGGACCTGAAAGACCTCGATCTCCTGGATCACCAGCGTCACCTGGAATCCCCCTTTCTCCTGCATTACCTTTTGGACCTGGCTCTCCAGTAGGTCCATATGAACCAGGATTTCCACGATCACCAGGTAAACCTGTTCCTCCAACTGTAGAAGCCTGGACTTTCACGACACCAGGGAGCCCAGGAGGGCCTCGTAATCCAGGTTGTCCGCGTAAGCCCTGGAAAATTAGAAATATCAATTATTTCAAAAAGCGTTTTGTAAACACCGATGATATGAAAGGAAGTTTTAAAATAATCCATATAATAGATTCCCCGAAAAGTAAATTAGATACTAGTTAGGTTAGCTTTCAAATTAAACTATATCTACTTACTTCAATAAAGGATTCTCAGGAACTTGAATTTATAAACTTATAGACTGTGAATATTCTGCACTAATTTCTAACTCACATTAAAAATTTGATGAAAACCAGACAGATTTTACTGTGTTTTGTTTAGCAATTTTAAGAAATCCGTTAAGGTAAGAAAAGTGATACCTGAAATGTATACCTTGATAAGGTATGTAGGAAGGCCAATGACTGTGATGCAAATTAAGTTTTCACAGTAGACCCCGTGTTGTTGATCAGTTTCACATACTCTTCCCTTGGATTCCTCATAGCTATCCTTCAATAATGTTACTCAATTTTGAAAAATGATGTACTTCGATATCATTGTTCTAAGATGGGATTCAAGAGCCGATAATTTGTTCAATGATTGCCTTTTTCTAAGAATAAGTTCTTATTATTTCTTTGGATAGCTGAACAAAACTGTGGGCCTGCAAAGATATTGAGCACATATTTTGATAACACAAACCAACTCCTTCAAAAATATTATTTATGGTTACTTCATCAGCTTGTACTGTTATAGGGACAAAGAAAAATCCACAATCATTTGATGTCAGCCTTATTGTGTCACAACTTGAACTTATCTGCTTTTACTAAAGCTGTTTGATAAATACCTATACAGCTGAAGCGTTGGTCATTCAACCATTCAAGCCTAAATTCTGTGTTCAAAGCAATACATCCAACGTCCCATTCTTTCATGACTGTTATGTCTTTCATTAGTATATTTTGATCCCAATTTCTTTTTCATCATTACTCTGTATTTCGTTAAATCATAATCAGTTACTATTGACACTGTAGCAACTTTTTATGATTATTATTCAACTGTTTCTGTGGAAATTAATGTTCATCATTCCATTGTTGTATCTGTTGGGTGGAAGGGAATTCTGCTTGTTTTTAAACCCCCTTAAATTATTTTCATCCTCCTATTCTTCTCCAAACTTCCGATCATTACACATGATTTTTTGTTAGTTGGAATCTTGAATCACTTAATAATGTAATCTGCTTTAATTACGTCTTCCTTACTTAATGTGAAGCATAATGGAAAATTTGATTTAGTAAGTAGTAGTTATACTATGGTGTGTTTCACTCTTCATAACATGTATTTTTTCGGATTATTAAACATGTATTGTTATCCAATCTGTAGCCTAATTCAAATATACATGCCATACTAGTCACTACAGCATTTATTAAACTTAAAAAACTTATTTTATTTACAATCAATTTATATTTACTGATTCAGCAAACAATAACTTTGACAGTTTCACAATTTTATTTAATTACTGAGTCTTAATGACTCAGATTGTGGAGATTAGTTCGATGTAGAGATAATTCCCAAAAATTCAGGTAGCAAAATATCAAGAGTTAGAGATCACCGGATAGCTCTTTCATTCTAATATCGGACTCCACAGTAATGCGTACCTACAAATTTGTCAGGGATTGAATCAAGGAACTTTAGGTTATGTAGTTATTATCAAACCGATAAGTTGGAATCCAGTGATTTATATTTTTAATACTAGTCATTTGGCAATTAAGTATGACAGTCATTCATTTTTCGCTCAAGTACTTTAATATTTTTTTATTGATTATAGTTGAATAATGGATATGTTATATACTTTGATAATTTCCAAGTTATAATTTTGTTTAGATGAAGCTTACCGGACGTCCATCGATTCCCGGTAGACCAGGAAGACCAGGATCACCAACTGTACCATTAACGCCAGTTTCTCCATTCGCTCCAGGAATACCAACTAAGCCTATAACACCCTTTATGAATAGAATAGGAATAAAAGAAAAATAAGATTATCTAGTCAATTTGATTGTTATCATTCTCTTTCCTTCCAATGACTCAATATTATTTCATAAATCATGTTATATTGTGTATTGATAAGAACTTACATAGACTCCTGGAGGTCCCATTACTCCCTCTTGACCTTTATATCCTCTCTTTCCTTGTGGTCCAGGTGGTCCACGATCTCCTCTACGACCTGCTTTTCCAACTGCTCCTTGTTCACCAGGTACACCTTGTGGTCCAGGTTTTCCATCCTTGCCAGCCAATCCATCTTTTCCATCCGTTCCCGGTGGACCATCATATCCTGCTGGACCAGGTGGGCCAGATGGACCTTCTGGGCCTTCTGGGCCTTGGTCACCCACAGGACCTGGAAGTCCTGGTGGTCCAACAGCACCAGCAGGACCTTCTGGACCTGTCTCACCATCAGGTCCAGGGTCACCTACATCTCCACTATCTCCATGACCACCAGGTAATCCAGTGGCACCTTTCACTCCTTGTTCTCCAGTAGGTCCTATTGCACCCTGTTTATAAACATAATACTTTTGTAAATGAAACAAATATATGCTGAGGTTTTAAATCGTCAAACTGTGCACAATCTTTAAATGCTGTATTTATCTGCTGCTATGCAGCTGACAAGGATATTGCATCTTAGTTTTTAATAGGATGTTATGAAGTAAAATGGAATGACATGAGAGTTTTTAGACCCAAAGTACGACTTAAATATCCCACAGTCTCATTTATCTGATATATTGATATAAAAATCAATTTTTAGTAAAGAGAAGACCACTATAATTGAATGTTTTATTAATTTTATCTGAAATTAAACACCTGATAAGGATTATTTCCTTACTGAAGCTTATAAGTCGGGTTTATAAAACAAAGTTTGTCAATGTAGTAATACCCTTTAAACTGTGAGTATAAGTTGTCATAGCTGAAACTTTAAAATTATAGTTAAAAACAGGTAATATTTATGTCATTCAGTTCCAATTGTAAAATGAAATGATTTGCACATACTTTTAGTGACAGTTTCGGGTGTTGGATAACACTGTAAAATAGTACAGTTGAATATCATTGAAGTTCCTCTAGGTTAAATTTACTCTGAGGCGTATCACCGATTCCTTCGCTTTTAAAGAGTTCGAAGAAAAACTTAGGTTATCAAACATTTCTAACAATTAATTTATGTATATTCAAACTGATGGATCTAAACGTATTACCAACGATATTTGTAGCGAAAAGTTTACACTAATTGACTTACCGTCGGTCCCCTTGGGCCAACTTGTCCCATGGGTCCCATTGGTCCTGCGTGTCCTGGTGTTCCACTTGCGCCCGGCAAACCTACTGGCCCAATTGGTCCTGCTCCTCCTTTGATTCCAGGAACTCCATTCATCCCATGTGCACCATTTTCACCCCGAGACCCAGGAGCTCCATCAAGACCAGGACGTCCGGGTGGTCCTGGAGGACCTGAAAGTCCTTGCTCGCCTGGTGCGCCCGGTTCTCCAGGACTACCGCTGAGTCCAGGTTGTCCATCTAATCCTGGACTTCCTGGACTTCCAGCCATTCCAAGTTCTCCTTGTGCACCCTTGGAAACAGAGGAAAAAGATTTCGATAGAAATTCGTCTTTGCAGTAAAAAATTATCAATGATCAGATGATATGAAAGTCAAGATTTCTTGTTATTTTGCATGTGAAAACTCATGTAAAGTAATCTAATTTCATGAAAAAACAATTAATTACAATTGATCAGCCTAGTATATGTCTGAATGAATGAAACATTGAATCGTTGTTCAGTGATTAATCATATCAAATTTCATGTATCTGTTACCTAGCTTGTTTAGAAAAAGGTTAATTATGATGAAATACAAAGAGCAAGAGATTTAGCCAGTCTGGATAAAGTATATCAGTCTCGATGGTTTTCAATGAGTCATTTTAGAATAACAAAGTTATTGTAATAAATAGTTTTAACTAGTGGGCAACGCTACTAGGTTATTTTATATTTGTTTCGTTATAATACTTGTCCCTTGATTGATAACATATCAGGTTTATATTTTTTCGTAGTTGCTTATTGCAGCACCAATTTACTTGTTTAACCCGATATAATCACTAGGATGAACTAGTTCAGAGTTAAATTAGGAGTAACCTAAGGTTCGAAGCTCAAAGAGTATAGTTATTGAACTTTCAAACTAGGAAACTAATCTCTTATTTGGAAAAATCCCATGACTATAACTATAAGGAAAATACTAGTGAACTTTTAGTTGTAACATGTTTATTTGAAGAGTATCATTACGATGATTTATATCTCAGGTAAATGTTTTTAGCATGGTTGAGTCCTCTGAGTTAAATGACTTAATTGTGAAGCTTTCAATATTATTCCGGACAATATCAATAAGAAGTAGGTAGTAAAGTAAAGCTTTATTGTGAAAATCTTCTAAGCAAGTTAAAAAACTATGTTTAACTTGGTTTTGATAAATGAAACTACCTTGATTCTACAGGAAGAGTCGATTAGTGAATTCAGAAGAAGAGCATACAAAAAGTGCCAATTCGAAGTTATGTTTTTCCATTTCACTTAAAGCAGTATAAATTAAGGTAATAAACCAATGAAAAAAAAAACTAGTCAAGTATGATAGGTGCACAAATAATAATAATAACAATAGACTAAGTTCCTAGTAAAAGACATAATCAATTTCACTAGAAACAATCTAAGCAGCATAACAAACGATTATGTACCGAAATATTAATGAAATAGAACAAATATTTTCTGAAAATAAGTTGATTAATGTTTGTTTTGTAAGGAATGAGAGTCTGTTTAGCTCAATTACTTGGTACAATGAAGTAGTGGAGTTTGTAACTGTTTGCGACGTTTGAATTTCTAATTTGATTTTGGATTGGAAGTAGTAGTGGAATCTAGGGCACACTTTCCGTTCTATTTAAAACTATTCGACTGGATCTACTTGTTTCCTAATGTTAATGTTAACATTAAAACTTAAACTTACTTTCCACCACTTCAGATATCAATCTATTATGCACTAAGCTAGTTTGTTTACATAGTTACTCACTTATTCAGTGTATATGAAGGGATATTTTTATAGTTGGTGTCATTTCGTTGTTGATATTTAGGAATAAGCTGGTATATAAATAAACTACAGACTTATATCTATAGGCAGGCTTGAGGTATTAGCACAGAATTTACATCCGTCGACAGACGTTGGTCAAATCCTGTCCCGAATATTATTAACAGGGCAATACAGACCCTTACAAAAATTATTGGCGTTTCAATTTTTATATGGTATAAACTGTATGTAATTCTGCTGTTTTTATGAAGTAATGATTGTCATGTATATAACTAGTTGCACCATTATAAATTCAATTTAGTACCATAAAATGTATGCACTGTCTACTCTCTCCCTTCAATCTCGACCAATAAGTGATTGCTAGGGTACCTACTGGTTAGATCTGACGGTCTAACACTGATCAGTCAATTTTTTCCATGAAACTCAACAATCTTCAGAACCTCTATAGAGATCTCACTTTTACGAAGAAAACACGGTGCGTTAAATAGCAACATCCATTATTGTAACCAAATGTACCAGTGAACGTTTTAACGAACATTTTCTTCTTCGCGGTAGCCATCTTGCTTTAGCTGCTCTGTAACTTCGCCCATTTCTCTGACACGTTTTGGTATTCTTTCGAAGCCATGAAATTGCCAGCAAATATACTTATTTCATCTGGACTACCCCACCTCCGTTCTTTTTGAATACAAGACTTGGGATAACACTAGGGACCCGAATGTAATTGGTTTATACATCTACGTCATAGCTTTTCAACTACTCAACTCATATTGACAAATATAAATTTGTTCAGTGTGACCTTCGTTTAATAAATAATATCACTCTCCTCATTGGTAAACGAAAGTAGAACAATCTATATTTTTCGAATAATCGGTTTACAAAAATAGTATCCCTGTTAGTCCATTAGTTATTACAAAATCATTTTCTCTATTTTCTGTCAATTAAGTGGTACATCTGAAGATACTACGGCATAATTTAGGGACAGATAAAAACAAACAAGAAACGATTCGATTCTAAATCTATAACAGAATAAAAAAAACAATAGACAAATGTCCATTAGTTAGAATTATTATTCTCTATTCTTTTAGGAAAATATGTTGGAAATGCCAAATTATTGATTATCATGAAAAGAAAGAACGATTTGGCTTGTTTCCTATAGGTTAATAATTCTATTGTTCATATATATATATATATATATATATATATATATATATATATATATATATATATATATATATATATATATATATATATATATATATATATATATTTTACATGTTCTTTAGAATTCTGTAGATGATAAGCAGTTTTAATTGATCAATGCAAAATGACTGTTGTTTAAATAGGAATACTGTAGTATGATAAAAAAAACAACAACAGAGTTATTGATTATTTTTATAAAGATCACTATTTTGCATTGATGAGATGTGACATTTTCATTTAAGTAATTCTGTCTTCCCGTACAAACATGGCGGTGTTGGACCGGTTAAACGATTTTAAAGTAAAAAGGAACAGATATTCTCTGGAATCCGATTTCAGTAGAAATCAAAAGGCTGATAGCCTAAAAACGAAATAATCCCTAAAGAAATTCAAGTAATCTGTTGATGATTCGGTATAAGTCTTATACCCAAATGGTAATATACATTGCTTACTATTGATTTTTCAAAATGTATTCTGTCTTATTCTTTGTTTCAGTCTTTTTTACGTGAATAAAATTAACAAATCATTGACAATGACAATTTCATAATTATTTTAACCAATAAATTCAACTTATATCATGTCAATTATTTATTCACGATTTAAAAGTGATATTTTCATTTTAAACTAATATCGGCTTGAGAATCATTGAAACCGAGATATCAAAGAACAGGTGTATCACCCTAGTATGGAATACCTCAAAGTATTGTGTCTAGCAAATATAGTTAAAAATTAGTGATGCGAATTTCAGACTCTAGTTAACTTGAATCGTAGAGCTTCACAGGTGGGTGATTGTCTCACTCTCGTTGTAAATCAACCACTCTATTCACGACAACTTTAGTTCACAATAAAACGGTTGTTTGAAAAATTAGGATCAGTAAAGCTTTATGATTGCTATCATTCTTCAATTTAGTACTTTTCCGGACAAATAATTTAGTAGTGAGATGATTATCGATATTTGTAACAAAAAATGGAATGTATGCTGAAATCAGTGTCTCATTGGATGTTAGTCAATTTTAAAGAACAACACTGAATTATTGAGAAAAAAGAGATAACATGTACTGATTACTTTTAGTAAAGGCTGTGTTGTGCTAATATTGAGAAATATCTACACTGCATGTGTACAAATTTGCTTTGTTTGTGATCACATTTTTTCATAAATGTTTCAGTCAAGTGAACAATGTTTTACATTACTGCATGTCCAAGGTTGCTTACTTAATATCTGTTAAAGAATGTAACATGCTTCTTAATAAATATATAACACTTAAATACAAATAGATTGCTTATTTTTATTCATTCTTTGTATATATTTCCATGTTAGATAAAAGCCAATTATTTATCTGTAATCATGCGGAGTTTATTTACAGATTGGAGGTAACTGTAATCTGAAATCCTACTGTGAATAATTGTAATCAATCTTTATGAAGTCATGAACTGAATTTTCATGTTGATAAACTGATCTATAAACAGTATCTGTGATCTTGAAGAGTATCAAACAACACTTTAATTAGGCAAGTTAAAATCGAGATTTCTGACGCGTAAATGAATGCGATTCCTACTATAAAGGTTTCATTAGTGTTTACCTATATAAAGTTAATCACAATTTGCTGTGAAAATTTACTGCTCATCTTAACAACTAAATCTATCTGATTGTTTTCAAACATGTGTTAACCCTGAAAAATGAAGGTTTAAACATGTTTGCAATATCCTTACTGAAGGATGTACATTGTAGTCTCATCAAATGCCGCTTCAATAACAAGTATTCCATACAGTTTCAGCTAGTCTATGAAAATAACAATATTTTAACAATGTTTGTCATATGGTGGACGAGCTTTAATTGTGAATATAAAAACAATTGGTAATTTTCCTGCATAGCTGATGATAATTTAGACTATTTTTAAACTGATTGCATGAATTTATCTATTAATAACAAACTAAATAACAAGAGCATTCATATCAGCAGTACTAGTATACTTGCTGATTCATAATTCCAACATACTGCCAGAACTGTACTTAATAAAAACTAGGTTATTTTCACAAATTATTTCAAGTTAGTTGTGCTGCTTTACAACCCAGAACATTTATGCATTCATACGTAACATGATTTTATTTTCTACTCATCTTTCTTTGAATCACAAATATTTTTAATCAGAATAATAGTTCAGGGCATACAATATGTATTCAATAAGTTCATCTATAAAAAATGAGGCAAAATTAATATATTGTTATTAAATAGGTGTAACTTTACCTTCTAGGATCAGAGCATTTTTCCATGTACAATGATTATATGAAGTTTATTGAGAATAATTTGCAATTTGCTTAGCTCTACTACTTTAAAATTGTTTGTCTAAAAGTTTGTTTGACATATAATCTACTAAAAAATCTGAAAATAACTTTACATTATAACATGAAATCGTAATAGCCAGTGAAATTTTATCTCAAGTAATTTTATTACCATGTCGCTCCTATGATTACCTTAATTCCTATAGGGCCCATAGGTCCTCGTTCACCACGTGGTCCTGTTTCTCCACGTTCACCCGGACGTCCAAGTTGACCTTTCTCACCCTTAGGACCTTGGATCCCTGTTGGTCCTTCTACTCCAACTGAGCCTGGTTCACCTTGTGCACCTTTTGGACCCTGAAGCCCTGCGCGTCCCATTGTTCCTCTCTCTCCAGGTCTTCCTGCAATACCCATAGATCCTTCTGGTCCTCTTTCACCTGGTTCTCCTCGGACACCTGGACGACCATCATGACCGACTTCACCCTGAAAAAGGAAGAAAAATTAACACTGTATAATTATATCAGCTATACACTTTTACCACATTGGAAATGACGTTTAGATAGTTTCGCTGAATAATTTATACTACTATCTAAACAATCTTCACTATTTTCGCCTATATTATGTCAATAATCTAAAATATTTTAGGTAAGATGTAAAAATAGTACTCAGTATAACTTGATCAACTAGACTTTATTTACCTGAATCCCACGTTCTTTACTCAAGCCTGGATGTCCTGGTGTACCTGTAGGACCCTTTTCACCCTTCTCTCCTTTGGCACCGGTCAAACCACGATCGCCTTTTTGTCCAGCTGGTCCTGATGCCCCTGGTCTCCCAGGATTGCCTACTGGACCTTGAGGTCCCATCACTCCAACTCTTCCATTGGGTCCAGATTCTCCTCTTGGACCTGAGGGTCCAGGCGGACCCACTGGGCCTGGTGGGCCCACAGGTCCTATTGGTCCTTGAGGTCCTTGTGGTCCCATAGGTCCTTGAGAACCCTAGACATATAAGAAGAAGAACAATGGGATTACATAAGATATAAAGAATTAGATGAGTTTTGTCCTGAGAATGTTCATTACAAAGTTTATCATGATTTCAAACATTGGTCAATGATAAAGATTCTTTAGTTTCTCACACTCAAAATTAATACCAAAATAATAAGCAATAAGCTAGTTAGAATTTCAATGAACGACATTATTTATGTCATTTAGAAATTCGGGTTTTCTTTGATGGAAACACCCATGCACAATAAGTTAATAAAACTAATAATATTCCTGTTTATCTAATGAAAACTAATAATATGAGATGATTGAATGCAATCCACTGTGTTGTTGTATCTTAGTTATTTTAGTAGCTTTAATATAATCAGCTAGGTAACACTGTCATTCCGAGGAAAAATGAAAAGGTTTATGGTACATGAATTATGTCTGTACATTCAAGATGTTGAGGATATACACATCAAAGTCCATGAAAACAAAATATTTATTATTATTAGGATAAGACTCACTTTAAGTCCATCAAAGCCAGTATCACCTTTGTCGCCTGTTTGACCTTGGTAACCTTGTGGTCCAGGACTTCCTTCACCTCCAGGTTCACCTGGAGGCCCAACAATCCCTTGAGGTCCAGGTGAACCTTGCACCCCTGGAACCCCAGGTCTCCCATCACGACCAGGTGTTCCAGGTGTCCCAGCAGGACCTGCTTGTCCACGTTCGCCATCTATTCCAGGTGGACCAGGTGGACCACGAGGACCTGGTGCTCCAATTCCTCCTTCTGGACCAGGTGGCCCTGGATCACCTCTTGGTCCTGGAGGTCCAAGCGCTTCGTTCGGAGAAGATATTTGAGCTAAGAGTGAGTACAAAATTAATAAAATAAATAAATCAGATGACTAAACTCATTTGCTTGTTTATTAGTCAATATATCATTTTATCAAAGCGAGCTAATCAAAAGAGTCGACATGTTAATACTGTGGAATAAGAACAACTATATATTTACTAATCGACTTTATTACGTTCCATAAACTCTTTCAGTCTAAATTTTTATTTGTAATTTACAGCAGAGAACTATAATTCTACTTATTATTATCCGTATCAATATGATCGATTGGGTCTTTTAATGCAGTGTGTTAATATATATATATATATATATCACCAACCGAAAGCAGAGTTTCCAATATCTTTCAAATGATGATAGATTCAACTATTCATTGAATTTCTCTACATATAATTAATGTAGTGCTTATTTATTAACTATTATTTCCCACAACTTTTGTTCATTTGTTTTTCTTCACTCTTTTACGAATATATATTCTTCAGGGTCTAATTATCTGACTACTGCTTACGACGTAATTCTCATGAGTTTTTGATGAACGTTGTTTCAATCGCCCATTTTCTTCAAGCCTATAACTCTCTTCCTATTTTGAAATATTGATTCAAGATTTTATTATTCTTATCACATCTAGTACACCTATTATCATACTATCAATCTGACATTTTATTTACTATCTCTAGTTACGTAATCTATTTTGTTGTTATCAGTTACACATAAACTGCCTTAATAGGTCAAATATATTATTATAGGCTTATAAATATTATCCTACATTAGAATAAAGCCTGATAAAAATCTGACTGAAAACAATATTGTTCGTTTACATGTTGCAGTAATTAACAAAATAGGACTTCTTAATGTTATACAGTTAGTTAGAGGTCCTTGTGGCGTTTTAAAAGATTCAATGAGTTTCAATTATTTGGCTGTTAGTTTAATGATTAGTGGTGAAACGTAATCATCGTATTAGAATCATACAAATAAAGAATCAAATATAAATTATTGATCTTTGAAAAGGTTAATGTTACAAATACAATCAAACCTTTCTTATAATGAATAGTAAATAAGATGAAATCGGTTTTAAACCCTATATATATACATGGTTCCTATATGTTGTCAGAAGTAACGTAAATTTATACTCTGCATACAGAGTAAATTAATTTCAAAGAAATTCATTCAATTTCATATATATCATACTAGATTTCAACTTGAAGGTTGTGTTGGTGATGTTGTTCAGAAGAACAATGAAAACTCCACAACAGCTCAGAGAGCAAAAACTCTGCCATAGATTTATCCAAATGAGAATCCTAAAATGTTGTGTCAGACTGTTGTGCTTAAAATAGTTCAGTTAGTCATTATTTCACGCACAGATTTTTATCATGCAGACTTGTAGGTTCGTTATCAAAAAAGAATGACTATTTGTAAATAATAAACTATGGGATATTTTTTTAAATTACAACTCGATTATAAAATAAAAATGTTTTTCTCTTTCCCTCTCAACAAATTCAGGTCACTACTAATTATAATTGAGTGATGAATATATTGGATAAAGTAGACCAATAGACACGTAAGAACAATTTTTTATTTATGAATTTATTTCAATAAGCTCCAGTAAATAATTAGTTTCTTTTGTTAACAGAAACATTTGTTCTGACAATGCTGTTTAGAAAGACAAGAAAAACTTTACAAATAAACTACCTAACTCGGACAGCCAAACTTTACCAAGACACATAGATGACATTCATTCATTTTCTTTATATCACATAAACTGAAGTAGTTCAAATGGTTAGATCATCAGTCATGTTTAAAAATTTCCCTATGATTGTTAAATCATTAGTATTAATTGTGCTAGAGCATATAACTGTCTTGAACTTTTCAAATAAAGCTGGTTCTGAGGATATTCATCATCATTTGAACGAATAGTTTGATAGAAATTGGACACCATCTATACAGGAAAGGGCACCATTTGTGGAAATTATATTTGAAATCATTTCACAAACAATGCCTTCCAAACTTAGTTTCATTTTCCAAAATAGATGAAATGATGAATTATTGTGCTTCTCTTAATAACTAGCTTCGTGTCTCTTAGTGATTCTTTTGGTTTATTTAACTATTTTCAGCTCATAGTAATATGAGCTATATGTATCTCGAAATTTTGATTATCTAGTTGTAGAAACGGATTATCTAACTAACTCATTTTTATTATTTAAATGATTGCCACAGGTTAGTTAGGTTTGAAGCTAATTTACATCAAAAACTGAAAGAACGTGCGTAAATGTTTAAAATAAAAAAAACCTTTATGGTGGTTACACGATATTTTATGTGACTGAAACTGATCACTCTATCCCAGCTAAATTGATAAAAAAGCAAAACTCTTTAACAATAACACTTAGAGGTTATGGATAAACACTACTAGGAACTTCAACCTAGGACAAAACTGCTTTCCATAACCATGTTTTCATTAAGTTTTCATGGGATGTCAGTACTTGATTAAAACAAACTCTGAATTCCAGATTTAGCACAAATTTAGCAATCATGAAAACCAATAGTTTATAAGGTTAATCGTAAAATTAAATTAATTACAAAAAAAATGAAAATTTTTAATTTATTCAAGTTTCTGTTCATCATTTATGGTCAAATAAAAATAGCTAATTACTAGATGACAAAGTAAGTAACCTCCTTACATGTCTAAACTGTGATTAACCGTCTGTGAACAAAATTTTTGAACTAGAAGTGTTTTCAATGTCATGAAGCCATTAGTATGAATTAGGTTCAAAATTTAATTATTCATAAACAGTATTTGATTAGGCTATGTGTATTAAAATAGAAATCTAGACAGAGTTAATTTTTCCACAAAAAACACCTCAATCTAATTGAAATGGTGTACACCGAGGACGCCAATATGTTAAGTGATTCTCTTGATAATTTTCTGTATTTTTCCTCAAAAACTTTTATTGTCTTTAATAAAAGTTATCAAGAATTTTATATATATTTTTATAGATAATCATTTTCAATGAGATTTTGAGTTTATGACATATCAGACAAAAAAACAACGTATATGGTTACAAACACTTAAAAACACACAATATACATACCATCATTATATCTAAAACGAAACTCAACTCAAAACTTATTTTCTGTTTGATTACTTACTTACCAGTAACAAAATTTAAAACCAATATTAAAGTAATAATTGAATAACATTTAATCATCATATTTGTAATTGATTTGAAAGTTAAAGATTTTTAATTGTGATTAACTGACAAATATAATGAGTTGAAATATTTATTTGATTTTTATTTAAATATTATGCATGATTCAATTGTGATCTTCATACAATCATATAAGTAAGTGTTTATATCCTTTAAATGTGGAAATATATAACTAGATGGAAGAATAAAGTCAAGAATATAAATATGTGTTTCTGTGCTTTTATATTTATATTTCTATATATATGTGTGTCTTCTGTGTATGTAGTATGGGGAATGTATGCAAGTGTGCAACTGTATGCATATATGTATATATTTATATGAAAGCATGTACAATATTTGGACTAAACGTACTGTGTAACAAGTCACATTTGGGCATTGATTCATTCAATACATTTTTATTTATAAAGATGCACAACAATTCAAAAAAAGGTAAGATAATATGATTAAACGAAATATCTGTGTAGATGATATTTTGTTTTAAATAACTAGTATATTTTTCTGTTTTATGTGATACACTTAAAAGAGGAAAAGTCATCTCTTGAAAATTACATCATTAAAACATTTGTACACTAGGCAAATATCGTTGCAGTAAAAGTTTAAGCGATACATTTTTATAGGTTTTAAAAATAATTTCAAATTATGGGAAATACCAATGAGATAACTACCAACGATGACTGAGTTGTAGGGTATTTATGAAAGTGCTTTATGCCAATATATTTAATTGAATTGAAAAACTGGTGTTTTTCTGTTATACCATGACAAAACGGCTATCCAGTGCTTCCAGGTTGCTAATCGTGGTCTAACTTTTATCGATTCATCATTTCAAATGTGTAACAATCTTCACAACCCCGTAATGCAGTTACCTGTGCTCGCTAGTGACTAGCTCCGTGAGTAATCTTCTTCGAGTTGTAGTGGAAATTCGTGACCAGTGAATTTCAACCTTTTCGGGTGTAGATAGTAACTAGCGAAGACCGTGTATAAGGTCGCGCAACTCTGTGAACTGATCGAAGTTAGATGTTAACACCGTTAGATAGCGGCTCAGTGGTCCAGAGGTTAGGCGTTCGCGCGCAAGACCGAAGACCCTGGGTTTGAATCATGCGGAGTGCAGGAGTCGTGGATGCGCACTGCTAATTCGTCCCATACCTGGACGAAACGGCCATCCAGTGCTTCCAGGTTTCTAATGGTGGTTAACTTTTATCGATTCATGATTTCAAACATGTTATGAATGTTGAAAAATCAAAATATTTAGAACTAAAGTGGTGAGATAAAACGAATTAAAATACCTGAAAGCCAAAACCGATATTTATTTAGTTAGTTTTGGGAAAACTAAAATGTGCTATACTTACAGAAAAAAACACGTCTTGTAAACGGTTAATAGTAGTTACTATAAAAATAAGAATATAGATTATGAATGGAATAGGATCATTTGATTCTAAGAGAATAAAATAACATGAAACGTGGAACTGAAGGTTATTCAAAGTTTCTGTTACTATGTTTGATAAAACATTGAAATGAGTAAAATCTAGTCTATCTAAACGTTCTTATTTTTTAAGATGATTTTCAATTTTAAAAATGTTGATGTCCCTAGTGTATTCACACTAAATGATTTGTTAGAAGGATAGCCAAAGGTTGAGTGATATTAAGTTATTTTAGAATTAATATTATTTGCTTAAATCATGATATTCCGAGTAGATTAAATGCCGGAGTGTAAAGTAATTATTAAACTCAGATATTAATTGATAAATAACGAAGAACCGGTAATAATGAGGCCTATGTTTGTTTTAAATCGGAAGCTATTCGAAGGTTTTGCTTATCCTTCAGTGGTATAAAATACAAACCATTCAGGTATTTTTAATAGCCCTTGTCCATGTGCAGTTATTGTATAGAACATAAATAACGGGTTCTCAATGAGCTGGACTAATGAGTGTTCTTATTTAACTGTCCAGTTCTGTTCCGCCAGTGTGGAAATGGGCTTCCTAATCACCTGTCATCTTTGTTGGTTTAGTTATATGCTGACAATACCAAGATATTGAGAGTGATAAAAAATGAAGGTGATAGTTTACATCTTCAAAATAACCTACAAAATTACCTTAATGACCTAGAATGGTGCAGTTGCCAAATAATGCTCCCAAAGGCGTCATGATGCATATTGGTCACCAATGTATTGATACTCACACGGTGAATAACATTTAGCCATCTGTTACCCAGCCGCACAAAGACCTAGGATTTATCGTTAGCTGACACTTAGAAACTGCCACGCGATAGCCATTAAAGGTTTTAGGACCCTTTAGATGCTAAACATATCCTTTAGCCATGTCAATACTGAAACACTTTTGACTTTCTATGCAGTGTTTGTTCTTCCTAAACAAGAGTATTGCATACAGACAGTCAGCCTCTGCTGTGAGACTTTGGAAACTTTTAAAGAACGTGCCAATGAAGTGATTCTCAGAATCGCAAAGCTGTTTTATGATGATAGACTGGCTGGACTAATCTATTTCCTTAGTCATATGGAAAGACCAGGAGTGACTTTGTAGTGACTTCACTAGCACAAAGAAAAACATGATTTATTATTTAGCAACATTCATTATTATAATCAATTGTGCCAGTGAACATATTATCGAATATTTGTTTAGTCCAATATCCAATATCCAATATCTTTTTCACGAGCTAGTGTAAACCAATTTGATTTCTTCGCGCTCGATTCTTGTTCTTTCAGTACGGTTCCAGGTGTTCGGTAATGTCCAATGGATGGAGGTCTAGCCACTCGACTGTCTAATTCTACTCAGTTGGCAGTTGGTTGTGAGTTTGTATGTCTCGGGATTTGAATGAAACGTTTGTTTCAGGGCAGTAGGGTTTCTGGATACTAGCAGCCGTCACATTACCAAACCGGAGATCAGTTAGTTGCGATGTAGAGAGTAATAAGGGTAATAAGCATAAAATTCTAATGATAATATGAATAAAATTTCAGAACTGAGTAATATATAGATGAATTTAGTTTATTAATTGGTAGTGAAGATTGTGAGAGAGGACAGAAGTGTAAGCAAGGGAGAGGAATAGGCGAGATAGATTAATTGAATGGTCTGAGGAGATGGCAATGGTAACAACTAGCAGGTCTCAAGATATGCATTAGGCACAGTTTGTCCAAGAGGGAGATGATAGTCCGCATGTGAGTACGTGATTATCAAGTCTCTTCTTAAAGCAGTCCACTGAGGGGGCTGTAACTACCTCGGCTGGAAGAGCATTCCAAGTTGCGACGACTCTCAATGAGTAAAAGTATGCACGAATCTGAGTATTTGATCTTTGATGTGCAATCTTTTGAGGATTGCCTCGAGGGGAGTGGTGGTGATGCATAGGTAAGATGCTCACATTTGGGTGGTTTGGCGTGTTTAATATGGTGTACGCCATAATCAGGTCACCTCTGATTCTCCTATAGCTCAGTGGGAATAATCCCAAGAGCTGGAGTCTATCGTCGTAGGGTTTATTTTTCAACCCTATCACCCATTTGGTTGCTCGTCTCTGCACTCGAGTTAAGAGATTAATGCCTCGTTTAAGCAGAGGGGGTGCGATGACGTTGTGTACCTCCAAGTGTGGGCGCGCGTACGTCTTAAAGAGGGTTAAAAATAATTTCGGGGTGATAGTACCAAGCTGTCTTCGCATAAAGTGAAAAGTCGCATTTGCCTTAGCTGCATCCCCTACATAGTTCCGACTCGTGTGGAGGCTTTCTGTGGTTATTAAACCAAGATCGCGCTCTGAAGAGACATTAGGGAGCGGACTTCCATTGAGAGTGTAGGTGGTTTGCGTCACATGAGGCAGGAAATGCATGACGTGGCACTTCGGTTGGTTTTCAGTTTTAAACCGTTTTTCACTGCCCATTTCTCAATGGATGCAAAGTCCTTTTGAAGCTCAGCCGAATCCTGTTCGCTTCTCAAGGCACCTCCAGATCTTCTCATCGTCTGCGTAGATCAGTGCCGGTGAGCTAACTAAGCCTAGCAGGTCATTATTAAATATCAGGAAGAGGAGTGGGCCTAGGATGGTCCCTTGTGAAACTCCTGAAATGGATACTCTCCAACTCGCGTGCACCCTGTTTACCTTGGTGCAAAACTTTCTATTCTCAAGGTAGTTTCTGAGCCAAGATACGAGTGGGTCAGTGAAGCCCATTTCCACAACCTTTTCGATTAGGCGTGCGTGGGGCACTGTGTCAAAGGCTTTTGCGAAGTCGAGAAATACTATGTGCACTGGTATTTTACGGTCCAAGCAGGATGTCCAACTGTCCCATGTGATCAGAAGATTAGATGCACACGACCTGCCTTTCCGAAACCCGTGTTGAGCTTCATGGAGTATTTTATTCTTATCCATGTACTCCCTCATTTGTTCGTCCACTAGTCCTTCCATAACCTTTGATAATATAGGTAGTAGTGCGACTGGTCTGTAACAGCCTGGGTTCTTTCTATCTCCTCCTTTGAAGATTGGAGAGATAGTAGCTTGTTTCCATTCCGCTAGGAATTGGTGTGACTCCAGTGAATGCCTGAACAGGTTGCATAACGGTGAACAGAGGGCTTCAGCGCACTGCTGCAAGACTATAGGGCGGATGTTGTCACAACCTGGAGACTTACCTGGGCGTAAGGATTTTAGTTTCCTTAATACTAGGTCAGGAGTGATACGGATGTTCCCTAAGCCGTCAGCTGGCATTGGGTTGGCGTAATACTCTGAACATGTAGGCGCCTGGTTTAATTGATCAGAAAAATGGGTGTTGAATGTCTCGGCCATCTCTAGGTTGGTGAGGTCTTCTCCGTTAGGCCCTTTTAGGGGACTCAACCCTTGATTAGTAGGTTTCCTCTTGGACATGAACCTAAACAGATGTTTCGGGTTTGCCTCTATTCTGGCGGCTAGTTTCGTCTGTAATTGTCTCCTGTCGCTTCAAACTTTGGTATTGCATCTGTTTCTTAATGCCAAGTAAGAACTGCGATCGGAATCCTTCAAGGAGACCTTCCACTTGTGCCAGGCTCTCCTCTTCGCCTGTAGCAAGCGTTCCGTGCCGCGCCTAACCCAGGTTCTTCTGTTCTGGCGTTTTGGGTGTCTGAGGTACGTTGCCTACGACAGCGTTTTGGATGATATCTCTCACTGCTTGCCAGTGATCATCCACTGTCAGCCTCCACCGCTCTCGCGGCCAAAGGGCATGTAGGAGCACCTCACTCATGAGTGTGTAGTTCGCCCTACTGTAGCAAAGGTAAGGCTTGTTATCGTCCGGTGTCAGCGTTTCGTTTGTGACCATGTTAAACAGGACTGTGCCATGGTCACTACTACTTATTGGAGCGCGGATGTGAACATCCTCAACTAGGAGCTGGTCATTCGTTAACAGATAATCTAGGTTTGAGGACTTCCCTTCCTTAGTCCACCTTGTGGCGCTGCGTACGTGCTCAGTCAGGCCAGAGCCTCTAATGGCTGTACCAAGTTGTCTTTGGAACCAACCAGTGGGAGTTATACTGTGATTGCTGAGGTTTAAAGATGGGGTATTGAAGTCTCCGGCTAAGAGTATTTGATCAAACCCTAGGAGTGGCAGTTGCAGTATTACCTCAATCAGTTTGCTTTTCTGGGCCCTAGTACCCGAAGGAGGTCGATAGATCCCTCCAATCAAGTATTTCGTGCCATTCGAGTGGAAACAACACCAACATGATTCTGTCACCTCGGTTAGTTGGGTGTTGTATATTCGCTCTGCTTTTAAGTTGCTATATATATATATCGCCACTCCACCTCCAGTTTGGTGTTCCCTATCGCTTCGGAAGAGTGTCATGCCTGGTAAGCTCACTTCTGCGTCTGCAATGTCAGGGGATAGCCATGTTTCTGTTAGGATTATGATCTTCAGACCCATCTGAGAGCACATATTCCTGATTTCTAACAGCTTACCCCTTAGTCCTCTTACGTTGCTATAGAGGCACTTGGTGGTTTGTCTCAGAACCTGGTGCACATTTGCAGCAGCAGCCTTTGTCGGGTTTTCAGACAAGTTATTTAAACCGGATCGGCCAGTTCCTTGGAAACTGGCCTCTGCAGGTTTTTTGCCTGCGCGGTCGGTTCACTCATATCTTGAACCATAGGTAGTTGACCGAGTTTAACTATCAGTTGTGTGCGTTCATTTTGGCCCCCCTGCTGTTGTCTCACAGATCTAGGTCGGCTCTCACAACATCTGATGTGGCTAGGCAGATCGTTCTTCGAACTGTACCAAGCTTGTAGTGTTTCGGTCAGGTCTTCCCGGTGCCTAAGTGTTACAGCCATCAGGCGTGGTGACTTGATAGACGTAAGGTGTGACGGGCGGGGCAACCTGGAGATGCAGACTGCCATCGGGGTGTGGAGGGATAGGCTACGCGATAGCCATCGTGCTCGTGTGCTTCGTCCGGGTTACCGCTGGTGAGTTCGAGTATGGCGTGAACTACCATGGTGGTCTGTTCTTGGGTGTCTGGTGCAGTTCTGGCTGCTGCACGTACCGACCACGTTCATACATTGTTTCGTGTGGCTGGCAGGGGGTTAACAACAACCGCCAGTTTTGTCGGTGTGTTAGGCAGGGTTGTGGTAGCCTTGGTCACTTGTTTTACTGGTTTAGTGCCAGGCGATTTTGCTTTGGTCGTTTGGACTTTGGGGCTGATTTTAGGTGGGGCCTGTGGCTTTTTCAGTGCCTCAGAAACTCTACACCGAGGGCAGATGTACCAGAACCATAGGCAGGGGTGACTCAGCATGAAACCGTAGTACTCTTTAGGTACTGTATTGTCGCAGTGGCAATGTACCCATGTACTACAGAAGTTGCATTCGAAAGCATGGTCCCTGGTTTTGACTGGTGATGAGCAGGCAAAACAGTCGTCCTTATGCTGTTTCTGGGAGTTAGACTGTGTCGACCGAGCCTTGGAGCGTCTTTTTCTCCTATTCTTAACTAACTTACTGGTCTTTTTAGGAATAGGAGTGGTTTCTTGCTTCCTCTGCGGTGTCTGGTTTGAGTGGTCTAAAGTCGTACTTTTGTTCTACGCAATGACCTTTGTTTTTTCTGTGTATATGCAAACATTTTCAATACGGTAACGTTGCTTCTTCTCTCTCCGGTTGACGTCTTGCTTCGGTTGCTCTGTACCTTCCCTTATTCTCTAGTACGTTTCGGTATTTCTTTGATACCACGAAACCTCCAGCAAATACACCTATTCTATTTAGTCTATCCCTTCTTCATCCTTCCTTTAAAAGGTCTTGGATGTCTTAGACGTTTGAGACCCGAAATCATTTGATATACAGACGCGTTCATAGTCCTGTGAATGGAAAATCTATAACTTCTTAACATTTCTAAATTACTCAGCGGTTTGTTTGATTCGGATATGTCTTCAATATGAGAACATCACGTACGCAGAGACTTAGTTGATTGGTATTTAAATTAAAGAATTTACTGGTCTGGAATGGAAGGAAGACAATTTTTCCGTTCAACAATATGCAAAGCAAAAATACACGTGATAGCTCTAAGCTCATCACTATAGTTCATTTTATCGTCTGAATAAACATGAAAACAGATCAAAAAGTTGACTGTTAAAACTCCTAGACAAACAAACACTTAAAAAGCAATATAGTTAGAAACAGTATTACTTCCAGTAATCAATGAAAGATAATACAGAAAGATACTACCAAGAAATGCATAGCGCAGAAAGTTTCGTATGATGAAAATTCACAATAAAAGTGAAACGCATCGGACGTTTAGGGTTTTGCCTAATAATTAATTCGAATAGTTTGCTCATGATTAGCGTGTTCCTTTATCTAACCGAATATCGTCATGCATTAAAGTTTACTTTTTCATAGTTCATCGTGTATTAATTAGATATTTACAGTCGTATCGGCCAAATAATAATGCTACAATTTATGAAGTAATAACTGCGAAATTTATAACCTTACTGAGTCAGTTGAAAAACGGCAACTGCAAGTGAATTGAAACTTTCCAACCAAATATACACTCAGAATACAGAGATTTTCTTCCGAAACAGCTATTGGCTTTCTGCAATGTTGAAAAAAGATGTTCTTAAACTCAGTGGTAAACAAATTCCAAAAATAAGTAGCTTTGTTGGTGTCCATCACTGGTGATTTCGTTTGGCAGCACAGTAGAGTTAAGTTTATTCATGACCGCCACACACCAGTTTGTCCCTCTTCATAAATCGCCCGCACATAATTTATCATTTTAATTGCTGTTATCATTATGATATTATTTTAACCAATGTCATTCCATCCTACCCATTCACCTTTCTTCATTTCCGTCCACATATCATTTCAAAATATTCACCTATTTATTCGTTCAGTAAATTAATTTGCTTTGATTTCTCAGCCCTTGTCCTTTCCCAATTACTCTATATTCTTACCTGACGCTTCTGTAAATACAGAAAACCAGGTTCCTATCGTAAAACATGGTATACATTCTCTCTAATAACCCTAATAGCCCAAAAAGAAGCACTCACACTAAAGATATATCAGTCCCCAAACAACTTTCTAGTTCACTGAAGCTAGTGTATTCAGTTAACTATACTTCCTTCACTGGACATTACAAAACGACTGAAATAATACTATAAAACCGGGAGGCGAATGTGAATTGATTTTTATAAGCTCATCACGAAGATATACTCTATTCTCCTAATTGGGAAGGTTTCGGAATTGGGCTTCCCTGACCCACTCATATTTTATTCATAAATTACCTAAAGAACAGGAAGTTTCGTAACAAGATAAATAGTGTGCACTCGAGCTGGAGGGTCTCAACATCAGGAGGTTTACAGGGGACTGTCTTAGGTTCGTTCCTCTTTCTGATATTCATTAGTTACTTCTTAGAATTTAGTGGTGACCGAGTCGAGATTGACTATGATAACCACTAAATGCAAATTACTACTCCGCTATATTCAGTACAAATATATCCAGGGTAAAGAATATATTTGAAGGAGAAAGTTGGAGATACATTGAGCAGTAGGTTAGGAAGGATGGCAGCAACGCGAAGTAAGTAAGTGTTTTTGGAACAGTTGAACAAAACGAGTGCAGTAATAAATGTTTATTTTTCACCAATCGCGCTTTCTTAGTAGAAATGTTCCACTGCAAGATAAAATTAGATCAGCGGTATTAATTCATTCAGAGAATGAACATATTTTAAATCCATGAGAAGCGAGGAGTAATAAAGTGCGTTTCAAACTAACTTTACGAAAATAGAGGAATAAGCAGTGGATAACGAGTTAAAAATTAACCAGTCGAAATGTCGCGTATCGAACATTCTGCTTCACAAAACACAAACAACTTACGTCCTCAATGAATGTGGGCTCTTTACTATCTCTTCAGAGCGCAATATCGGACTAGTACTCTCAGAGAACTTTGACATCAGCTCAAACTATGTGGGGATGCTGCCAAGGATAACGAAACTCTTCATTTCCTGCAAAGACCGTTTAGTGCATCCGCCGCACAGTCTTTCTTCACTCTCTTTAACACATACACGCTGTCACACCCTGAAGCTCAAGACTTCACTGCACCCTTCTCCTTTAAAGACACATAAGTCTCCCGGACAAATGCGGAGACGAGCAACTAAATGGGTGAAAGACTATAAGGACAAACCCTGATTCATGTCTGGAAAATTGTTCGTTGTGACCATTGAAATTTCCTCAAATCTTATCCCGCCTATTACCTCTGTTCCGTCTTTCCGTTTTACTCTCCTTTCCTTTCAACAATCCTCAATACTAATTAAGTAACCTACTTATCCATTTATTTACTTGGATCTGAAACCTCATTTATATGTTCTCATTAGCACCAGAATAATCTCTTTATTATTCTCCACATTGCAACCACTTGGGGTTTGGCGTGGTAAAGTGATAGCTGCTTGTATCTAGAGAAACTACTACCCGGAAATAAATGGACTCATTCAAAACGCGGGACACAGAAATTCATCAATGACCACCAATTGAGTGGAATTAGTTCAGTCGAGTGGCTAGGCTACGACTGATTGGCCGTTATCGAATACCTAAAACCGTACGGAAACAGTAAGAAGCGAGCGCAAGGAATTGGTTTATACCAGCTCGTGGAAAAGTAACTGATATTGGACATTGTCTGTTGCCCAAACAACGACTCTGGCGGCATTTTGACTTCATCACTAAATGTTTTGAATCTTTTGGGTATGATTAATGGTCGTAAGACTGAATGATTACTCACCTGAAAACAATCAATTCACGTCATCGGTATATTAAATTTCTTACTTGACAGATATTTTGTATCTGCTTTTTGCCTTGATATAATAGTCACTGAAAATTACATGATAAGTTTATCATTCTTTTCTTCATTTGAAATACGTTATCCATGTTTATCCATGTTTAAATATGTGGATATTTTTGTTAGCATAATAATACAGTTTTTTACAACACTAATCAAAGAGAATATAATCGTAGCGCTTATTCACATACCTTTTTACGTCTATTATCCACAATACAGCGACAGCTGACAGGCAGTTTTCTCCATTCAGCTCAACGATGGGCCTTGCTTTCCACCTGTGGGTTCCAAGTGGGGCATGCCTCGTGATGGAATTAGGTTATATTCGCGATGTTTGTCTTATCTATGTCCAGTGTTTTCCAAAATTTTACCACAGCCAGTTTGTTCTATTCCACAGTAGACAGTCAGGTGGTGTCTGGCCAACGGATTCTCAGTAACTTGCGTAGATAACTGGTAATTAATACATGTATCTTGTTGATTATTTTTTCCATAATTCTTCAAGTGTCCACCTCATAAATTAGGACTGTCTTGATATTTCTATTGGAAATTCTCAAATGCTTTCTCATTTTTAGAGAAGTTGATGTATAGTTGTGAGTTATGTTCAGTTTGTTGTTCCACGATGATCTGTGTTGCCACGATCGATTTCAACGGAATCCAGCATACCGATCCAAAGTTAGGCGTCTAATGAATCTTCCATTCTGTTCGGAAACATTGTTGACATCTTCCTGATATCGAAAGTAGAGTGATTCCTTTGTAGTCCTTACACTTGATAAGATATCCCTTATTCGGTATTTTGATGAGGTATTGTTCTTTTCAGTCTCTTAGTACTCGTCCTTCCTCTCAAATCCTAGTGAAGAGAATTTGCTGTATCTTTGCAATTACTGCTTTGTCCTCTATCACTGCATCCGCTGATATGTTGTCTGATCCTACTGCCACTGCATTCCTGATTTGTCTAATGACCATGCTGATTTATTCAATTATTGATCGGTTAAGATCATTTGGGAGATTATTAGGTTCTGCTTTGATGATGAGTTGGTTCAGTGAGGCTGGTTCATTCAAGAGTTATTCACAATACTCCACCCACCTGTATCGTTGCTATTCGATTCCGGTGACTATTTGTCTTCTTTGCTTTTCATTGGTCGTTCTGGTGTACCATATTTTTCAGCGCGCGTCCTCGTTGTATCTGATAGTTTTCTCAAGTTTCCTTCGCCTTCATATTTTTCCGTCATCATTACTAAGTCTTCCACATATTTCCGTTTAGTAATTTAAATGCTTCTCTTCACTTGCCCGTTCGCTTCTATGTATTCAGCCTGTAACTTGGCTTTTACTGCAATTGTCCGATTGTTGTTGATTGCTGCCTTCCTGTTCTTCCTTTCTTGAATATTATCCGAAGTATCCACAGAGATCCATTTCTTGTGATGGTTGTTCTTATGACCCAGGACCTAATGACTTGATGACGGCACTGGTTCTTTGATCTCTTTCCAGTGTTCCTTCATGTTAGTTCCTGCTAATTGAGTAGATAATCAGTGGCCTGGATTTTACTGCTGACGGCCATCTTGAATTTGGTGAATTCGCCAGCAAACCGAAGAAAGACCGTATTAAAATTTTGTGATGCTGTTCTCACAGTTAAGTGCTTCTTAAGTATCAGTGTCGTCTTGACCACCATTAGATGGTGATCTGAATCCATATTAGCTCCTCTCTTGGTCCTTATGTCCTCCGTGACCCTTCTGAGCAATTTTTCGATGCAGATATGATGGTTTCGGTTCTGTGTAATGTGATCCAGTAAAAGACACGTAGCTTTGTGTATGCGTTTGTGTAGGAATACGACGTCACCCATAATCATTGTTTGAAGGCAAAAGGCTTGAGAATCCTTCACCGTTTTCGTTCCCTTTTCCCAGTATATTTTGCCCCATAACGTTTTCATATCCAATGATGTTCATTATAGCCTTGGCGTTTACCTCTCTCAAAGGAATGGTAAAGTCCCTTGCTGAGCATTTCCCCACGACTGACTGCAGCCTCCCATAGAATTGATTTTTATCGTCCTCATTGTTACCGCTGATGGGCACGCATCACTAAATAATATTCATTGTATTCTCCGCTTTGTTTGCTTTGAAGAGGGCCTTGATTATCTTGACTCCATTAGATTCTCATCCAATGAGTGCTTTTTGTGCTTCTTTGAACGGCATCAGTGGAACTCCTTGGGTGTGTAGGGCATCTTCTTCTCCATTATCGGAGTACAACAGCACCTCTCATGAGACTATTCTTTCACTCCAGCCTGCGTCCAATCTTTCTCTCTGATTCCAAGTACCTTGTAACAGTAGAACCTTATGCTCTGAATCTAAATTTTTAATCAATAACTCTAGGGCTGTTTCCATTGTCCCATTTTAAACTTAGAACTTTACATGGAAGAATTAGCAAACGTTTCGTCCCATAGGATAACTTTCTTGATAATCAAAAGCTATGTTTCTTGTTATGTTTCTGCAGTAACTGTAGGATAGAGCAAGTCAGGTATTAAAATTAATCACTGTTATTCACCATTTGATTCAAATTTGTTGATTGTCAAAGAAGTGTTAATTCTTTTCTGGTAAACTTCTAAGGAACAAATCTTTTTTCGAATTAGTTAATTGAAGATGTAGACTAGCAGGTTCCAAAAGTTGATGAATGGATGCAAACACCCGTAAATCACAGGTGTTAATAGTGTTATTATCTTCTAAAATGAAAGTAAATATGCGCAGACTAAATGATTACGCAATGGAAATGTTTCTTAACCGGCCCAGTGACCTAATGAAGAGTGTAATGAAAGTATTACGTTTTCTACCAATAAAAACAACACAAGTTCTCGTATGAAAAATTTATGAATGTAAGATAAAAGGCTTCAAATATCGTGAGCAACAGTCTATAAATAATGAGGCGAACTAGGCTTCACTTGATTTCTCTTGTTTTCATTTGTGTCGAGTTGACGTCTTTTGTGTCTGTGACCCTAAAGTGCTTATTTATAATACGACTAACTATTGATATGAATAACAGAAAATGATATAGACTCAATGTTCGGGATTATTACATTATTTTGACTCAGTGGCCGGAAAAAGTTCTGCAAAAAAAGATAGTCAATCTCTTTAAAACCATGAACAATAGTCAAATTTCAACATTTAATGGATCTTTTTTCATTAATTATTTTACTAATTCGTTATTAAATACGTAGAACAAAGGCATCGGCTCTAATTAAGTTTATTTTTTAATGAGATTTTTGTAATTATTTTCACCAGCAAACATAATGTTTATAGGGATCAATTTCGAGTTCAGTAATGAGCGTAAATTGAATTAATGTTATGACAAACATAGTTTTAAATATATTAATAAGCATTTCTTCATAGTCAAATAAGAAGCTTTTAATCAGTTCATCATATCATCTAATAGTTTGAAAAAGGTGGTAGGTATTTCACTTTATTTCATGTCTAATTTGTTGACTGTTTTGTGTTTTGATGTAGATTTAGTGTTTTTAAAAAGTGATATGGCTTCACACACTAATCGCTAGATGCCTTTTTCAATCACTTCGTACAAAATGCAGAAAACACATTTCCTTGATTTACTTCTTAAAAATTAGACGTATAAAGTTACTGAAAGTATTCATTCAAATTTATTATGCGTGAATTAAAAACCTTAAACATCTTCATTTACTTTTACTAGCTAATACAAGATGGCACCAACCAGGGGTGGAAAGGTGAGGTTTTTCGTTTCAACTTTTCTTCAAGCAAAAGTTTATAATAGAATGAAACAGAGATAAGTAAACTAACGAAAGATTTACTTAAAGATTACGAACAAAGAGCTAATCATTATGAAGTGGCATCTTGTAATTCAGTCAAATTGTGTTTCAAAAAGGCTGCCGATGATAATCAATATTTAACAAGAGTAAGTCATTTAAAATGAAAATTGTTGTACAAAGCTTTTAATTGATCCACAAGATCATAAAACAGTTGACTATTGGATTGATGATAAATTAACTGTTGATAAAAGTGCAATTTTACAAGCAAAAGACATTGAAAATAAACAACTGAAAGAAAAACGATTAGTGAAAATTTTACCCTTAATTGAAACAATACGAGCGAAAAGGTATACAGCAATACAAGAAATAGATGTATGGGATTGTCATATTGAAAATGATGATATGATTGCATTGGTAAGTTATGATTCATAACACTTTATCATGTGTCATGTGAGTGAAACAGAAAATAAATTTTCTAACAAACTAACTTGATACCTACCAGACAAATCTATATCGTAGAATCAACTGTATAACTTGATGAAAATCAAATAAGAGTTTAATCAGCGATTTCTAATTATATACTCGAATGATTACGGTTATGTCAATGAAGGTAAGAGATACTGATAAATAAGTTACAGTAAGTCGAAAATGGATATCTGTTTACGCTCCTCCCAGAATTGTCCAGTGTATTTTGATGATAACTTGAATCACAACAATGTAAATTTTTGGTTCTTTCTGAGTTTTGACTGTTGTTTATTTAAAATTAGTCTCAGATGAGAGAAACACCTGATGTAACATTTGTTCTATTCAGTAGAAATAACCAAGTATTTTAGAATTGCTATACAGCACTAAGTATACTTTTTAATGAATTTCAATGGTTCATTTGTTTTATTCTATAAAAACGGGAATCATAACTATCAATTTTCAAAGATTTTGGAAAGACTTAAAAAATTATGACGAAAACAAGACACTCGGTGATAACCCTTCAATCTTAAGACTTTCATATGTGATTTGATTGACAAAAATGCGTATTACTTTTTAAGAATGTGAATAATTCGGTCCTCAGATTTAAATTAGAAAACTTTTGTCAAACAATAGAAATATAAAGGAATTGTGCTGGGCAGAATCAGAGTATTCAAACCAACTTCATACAGTTTGGAATATCTTTCAAAAACGTCAGTGTATGTTCTGGTTTTTAATTCAGAAGTAGCTTGGTATGTCTTCACCACTTTGTTGGGTAAGGGGGATCTAATGAAAGACTATGTTTCTTTCAGTCTTTCATCTCATTCATACTTTTTTTGGTTGTCAGCTTCTTTTCAGAATGTAAAATTTATCTTTTAGAATTAAGCATTTGCTATTCATAATTTTCTAAATTTCACAGCGTCCGATTGTCTTGTTTATAATACTGTCTTCGTTATCATTATGTTTAAGTAACGTAACTAACATTATTTCTGTTTTTATTATCATCTTTCTAATCTTCTTCACTGTTATCATTAAATAACAAATTGAAAATACTTTCTACAAAAAATGTAGTTGATATTATAGTGTGAATATCATTAAAGTGAGATGTTAGACTAAAACTGTAGTGAACGAGAACGCAGGTGGGGCGACCAGGTTGTATTACAGTTACTCAGTAAAATTGGAAAACCATATCGTAAATCGTTCATTTGTAAATTATCAGTCCATCCTATCGAACTGGACTGTTCCTGCTGCCTAACATCAATCCATTGTCACTATTCATGCGTTTCATACAAATTCCATTGTTTTCTAACTCTTCCTTTCTTGATCTCTCCCCATCTTCCGCTGCTAGACATTACGTTGACACTCACGTCATATACTACTTATAAGTAGCTCATACCACAAAACTACGACTATTTATTATCATGAAGGAAAAGTACTTTTATATAATAATGCTCAATTTTATTATGAGTCATATACTACCAGGTTTTACAGGATTCTTCTTGCCGATTACTGTTTCTTTTTCATTTATAGACTCAATTAGTCAATAAAGGATGCTATCTTATTACACGTATTGAATTAATCAACTGTTTTTTGAATACGAAATGCATTCATTTATTGGCAGTTAATATAGCTCTTTCTAAAATACTACGTGAATTATGTTTGGATTTTAATGAGTAATTATGTCAAGTATTTGGTATTGATTGATTGATTAATTAAATAGCCATTATTTATTTTTAAAGTTTTTATTATGATTTGAATATATAAGTGAAGGTATATTTCATAGTAAAAAAAACTTTATCTTCAGATATTTTCGATGAGGTACTATTCAGTGGAACTTCTCAGTGAATTACATTAAGGTTAGAGTTTAGGATTGTTTGATCTCAGAGTCTGTTACATGTATCTATATATTTAATTTTTTTGAAAAGCCTGTTAATGACAGTCTAGTGTTAGATAATAGAAATCTGAATGTTTCAAGCTGTTTGAAATGAAGGATACTATCAATGCCTAAAAATGCTAACTTTCAGTCTAACTCAGTGAAACAAATCACCTTGTATGTTAAGCATTTCGTATAATAAATAAGTTCACTGGTTCTAAAGGGTAAGTGCAACTCTCCTGTTGCACTGAGAAAATTGCTGCCAGTAATAAAACTGTTTAGTTCGTATTCCTTTCGTAGGTAGTGTTATCCTTCACATTTAAATTTCTGTAACACTTAGAATTTGCTTTCATCGTTTCAACCATAAAATCAATAAGAACTCATGTCAGGTGTTTAAAAGTGATGCTTGTTTTCACAAAATATGTAACCATTTAGGTCACATCTTTTTCGTTGTGTCAACGAATATGACTATCTAAAAAGCCATTCTGAATCACAAATAATGTACCAACATTTATTCAGCCAAACTTGCAAAGAAAGAAGAAGGTATAGTTTTGGGTTCTTATAAAGAAAAAACGATTAGTAAACAAATATTACTATATATATATATATATATATATATATATATATATATATATATATATATATATATTATATGACAAAATACTCATCTTGATGATCTCGTTTTGATTGTTGGGCTGTAGTATTTTCGTAAGATTTGTATCGAATTTTGTGAACTTTATCTTAAACATTAAGAAAACGATTAATAATCTCAGTATACTCATCCGGTAGTCCACCATTAGGAAACCGTTTCATGAACGTGTCTTACGATATGTTATAAGTAAGCAAGCTAAGGCCAAAATATGATTATATCATTGTTTAGAAAACGAATGACTTCATCGCAACTTAGGCGTGTATAGTTTTGTTTTTCAGTCATGAAAGAAAAATGACACTCAAAGCTGATGAAAATTTTATTCAATCTCAGTCACTTATAGCGAAGTAACAATTATCTAGGGCGAATACATATCCATTCAAGTTGTCACCCCTCATGACAGCATATAACGAGTGAAAGTTGACAAACTGAAAAGCAGAGAATAATAATTACTAATAACTATCAAGACATTGAGACAGATTCTCTTTTATGAATTCCAAGAAATTCATAAATTCTAACGTAGACGCCATTTGTTTAGCCTAACCGATTCGAATTACTTGAATATGTTTTTGTGCAAAAAGTGCATTTCTTTTTTTCATTACAAAGAGTTTGGATGCTTTTTTTCTGCCTTAATAAATATCATATCTGAACTAAGATGTTCCTATGAATACAGTGTGAGGCAGTACTGTTTATCACATATTTACTTTTTCTAACTTAGAATTGGTGAACAAGGCTGTCATGCATTATGTGATGGTTTAATCAAAAATCGTTATCTTATTTATCTGAGTTTACGTTTTTGTGGTCTCACTAAACAATGTGGTGTTTGGCTTGGAGATATAATTGCAGAAACAGCTATAAGGTAAGCTAATGTAAATGATAAATAATATTTACTGTCGTTTTTATTTTCAATTGTTCAAAGATTGTTTACAAAGCCTGTCCAGGATTAACCAGGATTAACTAGTCAATATGGGTATTAGAAATTGTTCTGTATTACTCATGAATTGTTTAGTTTATGGTGTAAAATAAAAAAGAAACTTATTTTTGAGGACACTAACAATTTGTAAACTTTCCCAGTGAAGTAGATGGATGAACAGTTTGTATTATTATTATTTTTTTTGAGACTTCAATATCTTATTCTCAACTCATAGGGAATACATATTTATCGAAAGATATTTTCATTTCATAATATTTACAATTGAACTCAACCTTAAATTATTAGTGTAGGATTTAAATTCACTAACATAGGAAATCTTCCCACCTGACATTTACCACCTATAAAATGAATCTGCTTAGATGAATTTATATAACATGATACGATGTCAGAGAGATGAATGCAACTAAGGATCACCGTTGATATTATATAATAATGAAATAATATGTAATTAATCTTATTGTCATTGTATACTACAAAATTTTCAAAAAAGTTGAAATGTGAATATGTTTCTTAGACTAGAGAATATATAACCCAAACTAAATTAATGTCAAGGATACTTTAAGACGAAAAGTATAAACTTGAATCTCTTTGTTGTATAAGAAATGTTTGATGAAAATTTATCATAATCACTATGTTATTTATTTGGTAATCTATTGTAAACTACGAGTATTATTTTTTTAAAAATTTATAAAGACAGCTCATTCTTGACGGAAACTCTTTAGAAGCTGAAGGAACTATAGCTTTACTTAGTCAAATTTCTGATGCTGCAGAGAAAGAAGGACATGAACGCGCTGAAGAGATCAGAAAGAAACAACTAGCAGCAGAGGAGAGTGAAAATAAAGGTAACATGATTTTAACAATAACAGTAATAATAATGACAATAAGCCATTGAATATTCCTTGAAATAAAATGAAATTACGGATATCATTTCATCAAAAGTATAAATTATTACTTTTGAAGCTGCTGGATCCTCAGAAATCTCTGGGTCAACTGCTTAATGTTGCAATTTATTTATGAAAATGTGAATTTTGTATTTTCTTGTCAAAAGCGTTACTTATTACCTTCAGTTTGTATTTCCCACCTGGCAGGTCCTTAAACACAATTGGTTCTTTTTCATTTTTAGCACATTATTTTGTAGCTCTTCCAAAGACACGCTTTGTATGATATATATTACTCTTTAATTGTATGCTTCTCTTTTGTTCATTCCGGTCTGCTTCTGGATCATATGTATTCTTCCATGCTGACTCTGAACTTCTCACTCTTGTTAGCTGGATTTAAGCTCGGCGAAATATCTAAGCTTGTTATGTAATTGTGTAGCGGGTTATATGTACCGTTCGCTGATACCAAGTTGTGTCTTAAATATCACAAGCATGGTAATCACTGACAGATATCGGTGGATTCCAGATAAATATAGAAAATTAAATGGTGTGTTATTGAGTTTCAGTTAATATGAGAGTGGTGGCCTCAATTAATATGTATAGTTTCATGTAGTTGTACGCTGGTTTTTTGATAATGCACAATGATGGAATTTCAGTTCTGTTCATAACTTGACTTTGAATGAAATTTCAGTCTGAAAATCTACATTCTAGAAATAATAATAACCCTGATACAATTTTTTTTTAAAAATGTAACTGATGTTATGGAATCATGTAATTAGTTTTTTTTTACACTACATAAATTAGGCACGATGTTACGATATAACCGACCAAATGCATGCTATTTACTTGATGATAATCTGTCCGTTTTAATTTTGTGAATTGTCTATAGATTTGTAAATCACTTGTATAGATAACGTACCTGTGTAAAAGTAAACAATTATTATCTTGAATGACGCTCAAAATGTTTTAAGTTATTGGAAAAAATTTATGTTCAGCTTATTTCTGGGATGATTTATTAGTTCACACACACATATCTCCTGAAAATAAGCCCAAACCAATTTTCACGTATGATGATTGTTCATCAAATGTAACAATAATAGAAGATAATGAAATGAATAGGTGAATAATCATTAGCTAATCAGATTGATAAAATCATTTCATAGTGTCAAGATTGGATGTTTTATTTTTATGTATTATTAGATAAATCTGAAATCATGAAGTTGTTAAATATAGTTTTCTGTGTTTTTTTTTAATATTACTGTTGATAGACCGAGCGGTATTGAACAACCCCACTGCTGTAGCAGAGGGAGAAAATGCTAATGCTGGCCCAGCGCCTCAATCTTCACCACCAAAAGCTTCATCAAGTAAGAAACCCTCTGTTCTATGGTCATTTATATATCTTTACATCCGTTTTTATTTATGCCTAATGGAGCATTGGCCAATGACTAGCATTCTCCAACTTACTCTATCTTTGGCGTTAATTTCTGGTCCCACCCAATTTTCGTTCATTCTTCTCATGTCTGTCTCCATTTCTCGGCGTAATTTGTTCCTTGATCTTCCTCTTTTCCATCGGCCTTGAGGATTCCAGGTGAGGGCTGGCTTTGTGACGAAGTTGGGTGCTTTCTTCAATGTGTGTCTTCCTGGTTTCGCCCCTCCGCTGGAATCTGGTTTGTTCTCTCCCATAGTAGGTTGTTGGTGACGGTGTCTGGCCAACGGATCCTAAGTATTTTGCTTAGACAACTATTAACAAACACTTGTATCTTCTGGGTGATAGCTTCCGTAGGTCTTCAAGTTTCCGCGGTTCTACATGTTCTTCAACTGTTCTTCAACTGTGAAAAATGCTGCCCTTGCTCTGCTAGTCCTCACCTTCACATCTGCATCGGATCCACCGAGCTCATCAATTTTTCTGCCCAAAGCTTTACCATCAAGTGTGATTTAGGTGTTGTATCGGAGAATCTTGCTTTCCCTTTTGTGTATATTGAGACCTGTTGCTGCTGAGACTGCTGCTACACTGGTTGTCTTCTCTTGCATTTGCTGTATTTATATATCTAGCTGGCCATTATCAATAGCTGTTATCAATACCCATAACTAACGCTTTTTTCGACTACTAACTGTTTTTAATCATTAAATTGATTTCACGAATTCAGGCCAATAATGTATTGAATGATTGCATCCACAAAAGTTTATTTTACTAAGTATAAGGATTTGATGTTTAAGATTAGTGCAGAACAAAAACTGACTTAATAATTTTCAACTGTTTTGTTATGAAAATGAAAAATACAATCTCTTTAACGGTTAAAGTATTGGGTTCAAGTAGTCTTGTTTGAGCATAATTTACATTTGTTAGATTTCGAATATTTATCATAGAGGAATACAGTCGTGTTGTTATGACGTGTTTTTAAACTCAGCAGAATATTTTAATTACTAAAAGTAGCATATGATATTTTATTGATAGACTAATTTATTTTACTACTAGGCAGTGTTTAGTTTCATTACCTACATGGATTCGGTTATTGTATGCACGATCACACTAAGAAACGGTAAATCGATTTTGTTCAATTTACCGTTTACATCAAAAAATGACAAATCGTTGCAACAATTAGATGAGTTTGTTTGAGTCGATGATACAATAAACATTTATCTAGTTAGTTATTTTCAAATAGGATTAGAAATAACACCTATTGATCGTGGTGGTGTTTTGTTCTCTGAGCTAGATGTTTTGGTTGTGGAGCTTTCATTGTTCTTCTGAACAACATCATCAGCACAACCTTCAAACAGAAGTGAAGCATTCAAATGATCGAATGTTGAAGTGAATAAACATGAATCGCAAAGAACAGAATGAAATTTCTTTAATATGTATTCCTATTTTCTAAGGATGTATAGCACGACAGACTTTAACATGAACATTGAGTAAAAAAAAGCGTTAACGTTTTAACTAATCGTAGTATACGTCTAGATAAACATTCCTTTTTCAATATCTAATAAGCTAAGATTTAATGCTGCAAAAGATAACCTGAAATTAATATATTTCACATCAATCAGTCATTTGTGAAAACTTAGTTAGATCACAGGTTATGGCAAAGCATGTTTACTTGTAACATGTAAGATATGTTGTAACTTCATCTCCAATACACTGAAATGTAACAGAGTAAATGTTTTCGATTAAAGAAAAGTATTATCAATTGTTAAAGTAAATTAATAGGAAATAACAACTAGTATAACTACATTCTAGCTACTATTTGGCGGATATTTTGACAGAATAAACTTTATTGACAATTTAATAAAAAATTGAATTTTTGTTTAAGTAAGTACCTATGTTTTTATTAATTTTTTTTATGAAAGAAAATAAAGGTGGTAAAAAGGATAAAAACCAACCGTTAGTTCCTCCTTCTGGTCCACAAATTTCTGTTTTAAAATTAGCCGATAATGCAATTAATCATTACGGTGAAGGAGGAAATATTACTACAGTGAAATGTATGCAAATAATAAAAAGGTAAGCGAACAATTATAATAATAATGGAAATATCTAAATGTTTAATTTATCTTGACTTTTCTGGTTTAATGTGGTAGAAAATGTTTTATTGTAAGTCAGTCAGTTAGAATGTAGAACTTTGTACGTGCATACATTGGTTCAAACCACATTAGCACAGAGATGCATTTGTCAAATCAAATCCCATAGTAGTGGAGGTAGCAGAAATATTAACAGTAATCCAAAAGATTAACGAAACTATATATATCATTCGAGACCCTGGACGAATCAGTCAAAAAAGGAGAAATAACGGCCATGAGAAATCCAGAAGATTAGGATTTGGAAGAACGAAATGATCGTATGCACGTGCGCCATGTCATTCAAGGTCTCTAACCATCGGTTATTATCATCTCGCCGATCCTTAAACTTACCAACATGGCTAAATCCAGCTGTTAGTGAATTAATGGATTTCTGTCATGTTTTGGTTTGGCCGCCCCCAGCTTTCTTCCAAACTACTCCTACACCACAAAACATAGCTCGTCGAAGCAGTCGGTGATTGGGCATACGCAAAACATGTCTCAACCATCTCAACTGATGAAGTTTCAATACTTCATCTGGTGATCTGCAATCCTTACCTAGGACCCGTTTCCGAACGATAGCCTTGCTTATTCGGTTGTCCCGGGATACACGAGCAACAATTCGGAGACACCTATGATCGAAAATAAGCAACTTACGAATATATTCTACTCTAATTGGCTACGTTTTGCAACCATAAATTGAGACGGAGCGAACTACTGCACAGTACACTCGTCCTTTGATTAGCGAACAGATATCTTGTCTACGCCATAAGTGACGCAAGTTGACAAAAGCCTATCGAGCTTCCTGTATCCGTGCTGTGATTTCGTCAGTCACCAGGCCATTAGCATTGATCAGACTCCCGAAGTTGTGAAGCGGTCGATAAACTCAACTGTTTCACTCCGTACCACTAGTTCAGGTGATGATGCGACCCAATCTTGAAGCAACATTTTGCATTTTGACAGGGAGAATCGCATCCGGAACATGCTTGCATTGTTGCTTAGGGTAGCCAGAAGACTCTGCATTTTGTCAGCGTCTTCACAAAGTAGAACAATGTCATTGGCATATTCTATTAAAGCAGTTAAGAAATTTATGCTCTAATAATATTTTGTATCTGGAAAAGTTAATTAGAGCCAAAGTTGTATTTCACTAGGGTTGAGAAAATGAAAATCAGCATAAATGCTTTAGGAGTGAATTAAAGAAGAATGGGAAATAAGTATTCTGAACAGCTGATGTTTTAAAGGAAGATAAAAACTGAATTCATCTACACTACCATGACCAACTCTGAGTCGTGTTACCGAAATTTTAGAGTTACTGATTATTAAGATTTCAATAACTGTATCTAGGTAATCGACATTTTTGTTTTTGCTACCCAGGACAGGAGGTGATGAGTTCTCTGAAAATCATCATATTTTTGTTCTGATGTCTCTCTTGGTTTGTCAGTCAGCTATGTTTTGTTGCAAATCTGCACTGACTGGAGTTGACATCACTCACTAACACGGCAAGATTAAGGTAAAAAGATGAATCACAAAATATTAGCAGTATAAGTAGGAGTAATGAAAATTAACTATGTAGAATATGGTTCAGAAAAAAAAGGGATTATCAGAGTAGAAATTATGAAAAAATGTTGGAACTCAGGATCTAGATGACAGTTAATAATTCATGTCTCTTCGTTGCAAAAAAATCTTCAGACATTTGACAGCGTCTCCATACAATAATCACAGTTACTGCGCAAAGTACATACAGATAGTCTGTGTCTATCAGGACAAATCAGGCGGACAGTCAATAACTTGTGCCGACATTATTTCTTGAATTCTTTCAAACTACTCTTACACGAACCAGGATAAGGTCACCTGGTCGGGGTAGGAGTGTTAAGCACATGTAATGCTTAAGTCGATAGAGTTACGACCACACTAACCAGTTTACTATATTTTACTAGTATTTTATGTCTAACATCAGTAATAAGCATTTGGTTATTTCCTTATTTGGTGAGAAGGCTTCAAAGATAGCTATAGTCAATTACTAGTAACCTACTTTTGCTTTCAGTTATAAGACTTCACTGCCGTAGAGTACAGCAAAATTTCCTGTTGGGCTGTACTCGCAAAAATAATTTTTGATGGTCTAACAAAGTTCAAACTATTATGATCTCCATACAATTTGTAGTTTCAAAGTTAGTCTCCATGTCCGTCTGTTCATGTACACTACTGTCTAGGAAGAAAAAAGTGCATTGTTTTTACTGACTTTCAAAATTTGTCTCCAATACTGTATTTCGTGATAAGAAATATCTTAGGAAAGTAACCTTACATGGCTACACAGCTTTTTCTTCAAACCTATTAGTTCAAGAAAAGAACAGAAAGTGTATCCTACTGACTGATTCTCATTTCTTTGTACACAAATGAATTATATGATTTTTAAATACACTGGTAAAAGAAGTATACGTCATTCAATACACAGAGGATGTTAGATATTGAATAAATAAGGATTCTTTATCTATACTTTATAGATATATACCGACATAATACAAAAGACATCGCATAAAACATTTTATTTTAGATCATTTTCTGTGTTACACATACTTAATTCATTCATTCTTCTTTCTGTAGCATAATTTCATACAGTAAGGATTTAGAAGAAATTGATTTATTTGCTAATGATATTGGTGATCTTGCTGCCAGACAAATTTTGGAAGGGCTATTATGTCGTAAGGATGCTAAATTACCAAAGATTGGTGTACGTCTAGGTCACCGTATTAATCAAGATACATTTGATAAGGTACAAAAATTAGCACCTGGTCCGAAGAAGAAAAAGGGTAAAAAAGGCAAAAAGTAAAATTTAGTCGAGAATAAATTGCAACACATTGGATATATAAATGAAGATTATACACAAATAAATTTTCTAATACAATAATCTTTGCATTTAAACTGCTCACAAATATTCCTATTATTATTAATATTATTTTTATTAATATCAAAGAACAAAAAATTTTCCTTATATAAAGAATTTTTAATCAGTAACTGTAAACTAATAAACCAGATTTATTATTTTTTTTGAAGATTCAATTTGGTTTCTTCTGAATTTTGATTTACAAAGCTGAGTATAATAAAAAATCCCATAAATATTGTTTGACTTACAAAAAGTATAAGAAGCGGGTATAGTTACTAGCTTGCTTAGATAAGCAAGAAAGTAGACAAATCAGTTATTGATCAATCAGTTTAGAGAGGACTTGCATCACACTTTTCTTTGGTCGACGTATTACCGTTATTTGGTATGGAATTTCCTTAACAAACATAAGAAATACTAAAAAAAATAGTATTTCATTTCATTGACCTCAGTGCTTAAATTGCATTTTTACCTTATAATGGCTGTCATTTCGTGATCAGAAGCCTGACAATTCATATCTAAAGGTTCAATATTCATGCTGATCATGTTTGTGTAGACTGTGCTACACATCTCTCACAATTAGTTAAATAAAGTATGATTCGGTTCATGATTACAACTTTGAGTTTGAAGTACGGGGAAATACTACCAATCCCTAAAGATTGGGTACTCCGATTCGACAAAAAGGAAACCGAATTTTAAATATATATAACGCCTTCGGAAATGGAGATCCTTTTTACTAGAGGCTTAAGTTCCCTAAACCTACCGCGAACCGTTCTCACCAACTCGCAGTACCTCATATTATGTTTCTTCCCTATCTGACATAAGACGTTTGTGAAATCGTTTGAGCTGTTGTTTGTCAACCAGGAGCTGCTACCTGCATCAAGTTATTGTGGCGA